CAAGTTCTGCGCTAAAACAATTGGCAGACGCATGAATAGTGGTGCTGCATAGTTTCAAGTTCTAACCGACCAGGTTTAAGGCAAACACACTTCAGCTTCTTCCGAGCAAAACCATCAACTTTAGCGGACTAAAAGACATTCATGTCCTGTCAGGTTTTTCGATCAGCCCACACGAGCGCACAGCGTCTTGAGACGAGCGCTCACCTTCGAACAAAGCGACACTAGAAGAGACGCTGTAGGGATGGCCGCTTTTGATGACGTCATCTACTTCCTCTTCCAACGGGGTGATCTGAGTCTACGGGACTTAGCCCGCTTGGCCTGCGTGGCGAGCCCAAAAAGAGACTTTCTCGCCTCCTTTCTCACGTCATCCGAGGTAGTCAACTTTCGGGTAGACACTTTCGAGTCGCGCAAGAAGAGTCTTCGTGGAAGATGGGAGCCTCTGAAAGGAAGACTGAGCGACGCTTCACTCCGCCGGTCGAGCCGTAGGACCGAGGCAACGGAATTTGTGGATGAGCTTCTTCGTACCGTAGAGCTGATTTTGGAAATGGAAGAGAAGGCCTTGAATAGGTTGAAGCGGGTACGAGCGGCGCGCGAGCGGTTTGCTAGGTTTCTGAAGACGCGCTTTTGCGCGCCGCGGGTTTCGCAAAGGCATGAAAGTACAGCGGGATTTATCAAGGGAGCCGCCGCCGCGAAGGTCGCAAAGTGGCTTGCGAAGGGGCCAAAAAAGGCAAGAGAAATGCAGATCACGGCATTCAAGTTAACGAAATCTTTTGATAAGCTTGAGGAACTCATCGAAGTCAGTGGAACTTTTGAATCGAGTATATTCATGTATCTCGCATTCTACTGGCGGCAGCTTGGATAGCAAAGGACTCTTCGTCGTGAGCACAAGTGGCATAAGCGAAGATACTCAAGTTCGACGAAACTGTATTCAGCTTTACCATTCGGGAAGGACAGGGGAGAGATATCTGTGCAAGGAACAGATGTATTGATATTGGTACCGGCTCAATCCAAGCAGCAACTCCAGACTATCATGTGCAAACAGCTGTGCCCCTTCCAACTCCAATTCTAAAGGCCGCCGATTTATCTCGTCTTCCTGCAGTCATGAAGTCCTCGAATTTGTAAGCTGCAACGTTTCATACGGAATACCTAGACCCATCTCCCGACCTGTGTTCAGAAGGTTCGGAGCGGCGCCGAATTTTCTGTTGGGTTTTATGTTGGATACGGCTGATTGAAGGGCATGCCCCGGATCTTCCTTTTGCGCTTACTTGAGTCACTACGTATACTGAATTCGGCCAGTTCACTGGCCACAGACGAACTGTGTTGAGCAAAAGGCTTAAGTCTGACCCATATTTTTACCAAGTCGGCAACCTGTCCGAATGCTGCTGTAACGGGGCTGTAACCGGCCCTTCTTCCCCGCCTTTGAAGCAATTCTGTACCCAGTTCCTGAGGGCATCTTCTGTGGCCTTTTTAAGTTGGCATCATCGCGCCGTGGTATCATTCGATGAAGTTTGCGGAGCGCGAGCCTGTCCTAGCGTATGTAAGACTTGCATAATTGAAGTACTTGATTGGACATTGAAGTCTAATCACCATGCTGTCGTCCTGGCAGGCATATGGTGATTTCCAAGCAGTGATGAGTGAAAACTTGGTTATTCGATCGGGCTGCATCTGGGCTGTCACTGCCTGCCGGGGGCTGCTTTTGACGCGCGTTCGAGTGCTCTGTGCATCTGCGGCCGCTCGCGCTAGGAACCGTTGAGGCCGCGGCGCGGCCGCGAGACGACGTCCTGATTTAGATTCCACAGAACATCATCAACGCGCAGAATATACGAAGCGGCCTGGAATATTCTCTGAGTTCCAAATGACCAACTCGTTCATTTGGTTGTATGCAAACGTAAGTCAATTCTAGCTGATCAGGCCGATTCAGTTGCATGACCACGACGAATTTGCTGGTTTTGACCCGCTCGTATCGGGCCATAAAACAATCCATGCAGCTCATTGTTGCGTGGGTTGTCGACATGCTCCTCGAGAAAGCCAACCAAGATTCTCAAACGGCCCTCCTGCTTTCCCGTTCCGCAGGAGCTCCATAGCCATGGCCAGTAGTCAAGGGCAAGGAGCCCATTACCGGCGCTGGATCCTGCTACTAGCCCTATAATCAGGGAGTATCCACAGAAGCACGCCTGATCGAATCTTGCAAAATGTTTACTCTGGTCCTTCATCTGCACACCGGCCAGCTAAATCTCAGTCGCGCCCCAGTGCTTTGACCAAATTTGCATTCGCTGGTCGGCCCATACTGGCCGACGACTCGAACGTGCTGATTTCCATTGCCTCGCCTCTCACTAGATCTTGTTGAAGTTTCGAACTCAAACCGTTGGCGTCTGATCTGCCGCTTGGCAGACATTTCTTCAGTGATTTAGTAGGCGCCGCGGAACCGGGCCGGCCGCGGCCGTCGAATTGAGCCCAGCTGCACGCACCCGCCCGCCAGGCCCCGCCGCCCGCTGCCATGACACTTCCATGTGCTTAAAAGTTTTAGCTCCCAGCGGCAGATGCCGGCTGTGACATGTGCACTTGATGAACAGAACAGTGAACACAGGGGGATTGCGGCGCGTTGCCAGCCGCCAGCAGCCGTGAGAAGTGAGGCGCTCAATTCTTGGCTCGGATGCTGCCGGCCCGTTGCTCCACGTTGCCTTGGGCGTGCGTTTCATATACAGTCAAGCGGTATCGAAAGGGCCATGTCTCATGACTTCAATAGTCAACGGTCCAGCGGAGTTGCATTCGGACAAGTTCGTTTCCACAAAACGAGTGACCAGGTGCGAAGTTGATTCTTGTTAGTTTACGATTCTGTTGTTTCTGCTCGTTGCATGCCGAGTGGACGGCCAGGCTTAAATCGAAGCCCTACCTCGTCGCATGCAATGCATCTCACCAGCGCTTTTCACCGATCCGCAATTGAGGATCTCTGGGGACTGGGGTCAAATACCATTAGCCAGATAGCCTGCAGCACTACATAGAACGCTGAGTCACTTGTGGGGCCCTCAGCCGCTGGTGCTAGCTTAACTCCTGGCGGGCTGCTGGAGAAGGAATGTGCGCAAAGACTGGGGCTAAACAGCGGCCGCTGTTAAGGCGGAAGCCCATGTGTGCCTCGCTAGCTATTGGTTCATTGATCTGCGCGCCTGACTCTTCCCTTGCCTTCTCTTCTCAAGTATCGACCTGCTAGTCACTCTAGGAACATAGGCACCTGACATGAAGATCAGAGGTATGCATCCGAGGAATCCAGGCCATCAGGCAAATGTCCTGAACCAGCTTCTAGTTTTGCACGAGCTGCAACGAGGTTTTCGGCCGCCTGGCCGACGCAACTGATCCCGTTTGTGGAACACGTGGCATGTGAGTCGATGATGGAATATCTAGCAGAGCTGATCATGCAGTCTCAGAGTCGTAGAGGATTAGACGCGCCGCCGGCCAGACGGCGGCCGCATGTTGATCTGGGCGGCCGGGCTACAGCCTGTGCAGGAACGTCATGCTGCCACTCATACAATTACAAGCCTTGAAGTTACCATCTCTCAAAACCACGATAATTAATGCAAGCTGTTGCAAGCAAGTTGGAAAGTTGCAACTGCAACTGCAAATAATGAAGTGATGTAGGATAGGTACGTAGCAAGCCTTCTTCACATTCTGAGTCAGCCTGGAGTCACTAGCTTTTGCTGCTTTATACACTGATCAGGATCTGTAGTTGCGTATTGCAGCACGTGCACGTACAGCAGAATGTCAGAGTCCGTTCAAATCCGTACATGTGGGGCGGGTCGTCCGGACCGTTCCGATTTAATGTCAACAGCCGCTTGGATCAACCGGGCTCCAGGGAACTCCAAACCCAAGTCGAAACCGTCAAGGTTTCCTAGGAGGGAAACTGACAGTCTGGCCTGCGAGGTGCCCATGACCGGCTGGCCCGGGTGCCGGTATAATGTAACCCAGCCCTGAAACCCGAAAATAACCAAGCAGCTACCCGGGCCCTTGCTGTGTCGTGCGCGTGCAACTTTCTGCGTCATATGGTAATAAATGTAACTGCCAGCCTGCAGCTTGGGAAGAAGCAAACCGAGAGCCAACCTGCAGACTGGAAAGCAGACTTTTCTAGACCAGATTACCTGCCCTCCACACATTTCTAGTACGAGCGCTTTCTCGAGACATGATTGAGTTTCTGCTGCTTGTTGAACTGAGAGGTTGGCAGCGAAAAGGCTCTAGCTACTGGCATGGCGCCCGGTTGACTCCTGCTGCACCAGCAAGATACAAGCTGCTTTGGAAGGACAGAGGCCAAGTCCTCGATCAAGTTGATGGGACCTGGTCACCTGGCATCTGCAGCTGGCATGATGATTTTGGGGACCCTTCAGATTAGAAGGTCCTTCATAACCCGGCAAGGGCTGAGCGCTTGAGCTTGAATCGGGCTTGAATCTGGCTTGAATCTGTGTGCCGTGCAGCAATCTAAGCAGGTTTCGTTCAACTAATTTTCCTGGCTTTCGACTCAACTACAATCCGGGCGGCGTCCTTTCAGCTCACCGTCAGCGCAGAGTCTTGCTCACAGGCAGGCTTCTTGACCTTCGTATGATTCCTCAGAAGAATCTGCAGCTGATCTCATCGCCAGCTAGCACTGAAGGTGATCAAGCAGTCCCCAAAGTTGTAGCTATAGAGTCGGTCCTGGAGACCATGACATAGGTACAACAGCGGTAAAGGAAAAGGATATTGATTCTTATGGAGGGCACCTCATCCTAGAAACAACCCAGTTACTCTAGGTAAAGTACGCAATGGGGCCTCCGGAGGAAGAGACACATGCTCCCAACTTGATCCAGGATGACGTAGGACAGAGGTTTCAGCTCGGATCATCGTCTCTGGTTGACAGAGTGAAGAGGTCAGGCGCAGGCACACAAGAGGCTTCACTGCACCATGAGAAGGGCATGAATCACTTTGGACTCTCCTTGTCCACCCTGAATCTTTCCACCGGAAGCCCCCTACCAGCAGGTATGGTGCCCGGAAGTGCGTCTATCATGATGATGCAGAGAGAGCTTTTCAAGAAAAGACTGACTAAGAAAACAAGTGCGAAAGGGATACAGCAATGGGAGGTCTGCGCACTACCAGAGGAGAAGCATCCATCGAGGCGTCGGTAAGTAGCTGACCTTTGCAGCCTTCTTGCCACAAGCATTGGGTGACAATCTGGACATGTTTTCAACAGCCTTTGAGTTTGATTATTGGAGGTTGCCATGCTTCCGAGTCTCCTCCCAAAGCAATCTGATGTGGTGCAGACATGGAGTCACATACCGTTCAGCAATTTCAACTCGACAAACTGATTATCATTCAGCTCAGGCCTTGACTGTATGCTTGTGCAGGTCTGCAGCCTCAGTCAAAGTTTCATCAACGGCTGAGATTGTAGTTCCAGCTTTAGAGAAAGTCCTGGCTGAGGTGAGTATATTAAGATTCCAATAAGCATTTATGAGCACCGGTAACTATAGTTGCTTAGCTTGCTGGAAGAAGCAATGCCTCGCACGCCAGAATACTAGGTCGATGACAACAGAGCTTTTCGGGCTGAATGAGAATTGCCCGGACTTTTTGCACCTTTATACTCACAGCTTACTTTGTTGATTTTGTGCGCAGGCTGTGCTGACAGATGAGCAACGCATCAGCGTGCAATTCTCAATTCAAGCAATACAATCCAGGACTCTGTACGAACCAAGAATCAACGTTGCGGCACATTCCTCCGCAGACAGGCGCAATACAGCTCAGCAACTGGTCTCCATAGGAGAGCTGAAAGTAGTTGACGAATCGTTCAGATGGCTAGCACAAGCGTACCACCTAGGTGAGCTCTTCAAATGGACATAAATTGCCTTGCTTGGTCGTATCCAACTTCTGTACGCAAAAGAGACGCAACAATCCTGCAACGAAGAAAGAAAGATAACAACCCTGCCCTTAGATATGTTGTCAAGACAAGAATTCAACAAGCGGCGTGTGTTTCAATTCGTCGTCGTTCTGCGTGATCAGTCGTTTGCACCTCCATGCAGATCAATACTCTAATGTCAACGGGGCGTTCGCTTCCAAACCCCTCCCAGCAACCAGCGACTTCCATCAGCCGGAGCAGAGCCAAGCTCCCAGTCTCTTGATGTGAGGGAATGATCTGCTCTTCTCTGAAGCTGGCAGTTTTGATCAAGGAGCTCATGTGAAAGCTTAGAGTATAGCCGGCCCTCTAATGCGTACTTGGTGGTTTCGTTTGCAACCTTATGCATCATTCTGCTTTGAAACAACCTCTTCACCAGAGGTTGGAGCTTTAAGATGGAGGTAATCGTTTAAAAGTTGTCATGTCCCTTCATTCTGAATCCTGCAGCAAATCTGGATCATCGCCTTGGCTGAACCGCCTTGCGCAACCTGAGCGGAAACAGATTGACAAGGAAGGTCGAGAGACTCTACAGAGGACTGGCAGCACGGGAGAATTGAGTGTTGAGAAGGTCCAGGCAGAGGACGAAAATGTATCCGAGATGCTAAAAGGGATCCACCGTCGCGACTTTGACGTGTTTGAGTAAGTACTCGCTGGTCGAGTCCGTCGCAAGGTCAATTTGTTTTCTTGCTTGCTCTACTAGTCATTGTCAAGAGGAGCAAACAAAGTGGTAACATATGATGCTGTTCAAGCCTACGGCAGACGACAAGACTTTCTGGCTTCTGACAAACCACACTATTCGAAAGCAAGGTGTAACACAACATGCTTCAGCGTCTGAGAGACATCTCATGTGAAGTTCGGCAACTATCAGCTATCGTGTTACGACGTCTCAGCGCTCTTGTCTTGCTAACAGATTCGCTACCGCTGATGGGGGTGTGGTGCTGAAGCCGGTCGCATCAGCGATTTTCAAAGAACTGGGGCTACTTGAGAAGATTAACATTGGCAAGCAGACGATGGATGCCTTCCTCGCATCCATCGAAGCTGGCTACTGTGAGGTAAGGAGGCAACGTCCCCTAACAGCATACATACGTCTAGGAAGTGGATTGTCGATACCTTCCTTGTCTTCCTACCGTTTTCAGTTGTTACGTACAGCAAGTTATTGACCCCCCTGGAATGCTACCAAGTGACTTTACAGACGAGGATCTCCTCGTTTTCTCTCTTGGTCTGACGGAGTTTACGAAACTGGGTGATTGGCTTGCTTTGCCCAGGTTCCCTACCACAACGCGTGTCATGCAACAGACGTTCTTCTGGCGGTGTACAGTCTCATTTCGAGCAGCTCAATGGTGAGTTTAAAACTGAGGCACTCGGATCTACTGAATCGCTTGCTGCTGATGCATTCGTAGTCCCATTCATGCTTTTAGTCTGTCATCAGGGATTCGCTTCCCACGCGGATCGACAAGATCACCTGCCAGAGACGCATGCGAGCTTCCTTGGAGCGTGCAGCACGCTTCAGCAAGAGCTTTGAAGAGATGTGTTGTGCGTCAGCTATTGAGCAAAACTGATCACAAGGTGTTCACCAATGATATGCGTCGTTGTGCAGGCGTGGATGACTGACCACGAAGTATTCTCGCTGTTGATAGCGGCGATTATTCACGACTTCAAGGTAAGTCTGAACCCGTCGCAAGCCAGTATCTTGACGCTTCAATCTTCGTTCAGCTCCAAGAAGCAAGTCTGAACTGTATCTGAGCAGGCAATTCAAAACGACGTGATCAACCTGAGGAGCTAATAACGGAGTCAGAGTTGTTACACCTCTTTCGCAAGTCTTATCAGTTAACTTCTTCAGCCAGCGCTCTCGTTATCGTCCTTGGTTTCAATTCTTACCTACGCGTGTTTGCAGCATCCGGGCGTGAGCAATGGATACCTCATTGCAAGTCGGGACCCTCTTGCCACTCGCTACAACGATCGCGCTGTGCTGGTAAGTTCTGCTGACAAGCTGAGGCTCTCTGCACTGGCCACAAAGTAGGTTTCTCCGTGCAGATATTTGATAGGTTTTCAGTCTTAGCTTCCTTGGCTTCAAGGATTTGTCTCTCTTCGTATATCTTATCGTTGACACAGCCTAGATGACGTACTCGTGCATTTCCTCCTGACTTCCAGATTTGACCTTTCAGCTGCTCTCCGCATCTTGTTAAACGAAGTGACGATTCTGACACTTCGATGATCGGTTTTGCATGAAGGAAAACTACCATCTGGCGTCATCCTTCTCCGAGATTTACAAGCCCGTTCAGGTGAGCAGTATACGGCTTCCTTCTCGAATTACTTCTCGCTTTGATCGCTAAGGAGAGACTCAGGGTCTGTCTGATACATCCCGCCGCCAACAAGGAATACATGCAGAACATGCTGTCTGCATCAGATCAGGCGGTCGTGGCGGTATTGTTCAAGGGCCTTGTCTTTCCATCAGGACTTTTGACCAGGACTGCCCTACCAAACATCACTTTGTAATCTTCAAGCTCAGCATCTAAGTCTGCGTGTGACCTTGCGAGAGCGGCTCCAATCACTCGCTTATATCCACGCTCTTTGACCAATCTTTTTGTGAGCCTCCCGTTTCAAGGCCTCATATTTACCCATCTCTTGTTGCAGAATATCATGAAGGGTTTCTCGTCTGAGCATCAGAAGGCTATCCGGGCGCTCATCATCCAGCTGGTGCTGATCACGGACATGTCTGAGCACTTCAACTTCGTCAACAAAGTGAGTAGATTTGAATTCTTGCCGGAAGCTCCAGGCCGATTTGCAGGGTTGGACGGCCCTTCTCACAGTACAGGCATTCAGTCACACGATGCCTCATCCTAGCACAAGAAACTTGGTAAGCTTTGGCAGCCAATTCCAGCTGCCAAATTGACCAGGCAAACACAGCAGTAATATAAGATCACCAGTACTTCTGACACTTTCTCGCTCAGGCGCGTTCTAGCACCTCGTGACTTCAAGTATAAAGCCAAGTTGCAAACATCTTTACATTGCTGCAGTTCAAGGCGTTCGTTCTGGGACCAGACTTCAGCCTCGAAGACCAGCAACACCGGCTCTACGTTTTCCAGGTATGCAAGTCAATTGCCGGCACCATAAAATGCCTCCATTTAAGGTTTCTTAAGTCTAACTTCTAGGCCCAGCAATTGCCACTCTATCAAGTGCTTCTCAGGACAAGCCGCTTTCTTGTTTAGCCATTTTGCATCATCAAACTTTGCAGCACTGCCACATCGCTTCTGTTTGCTTGATTGCATCCTAAGATGCATGTTGCATGATGCATGTTCCCTTGCCCTTTCCCGCGGCCTGTGATCAGCAACCTTGCCACGCATTCAGAAGCACGAGATCTCTTAGTTGCGCGCTAGCCTTTTAACCAGGGATTCTGCTCCGCAGATGATCCTCAAATGCGCTGACCTCAACAGCGCTGCGAAACCACTCCGCTTAGCCAAAGTGTAAGTGACAAGCCTCGGTCGCATGTACCGGCCTGCTCAGATTACCCTGGCTCTCTCGGGTTTTCACAGATTTAGAGGAAACTCACGGCTTAAAATGCTGGTGCTGAAGAGAGGCGTTACGAACTGCAACGTCACCTGCTAATTGGTATCGCTCCTGAAAGACGGGACTGCTGAAATTCAAAGTCTTTCGCCCGTCTCTTGAAGATGAAAATTGGAGGACGTGATCCAGAAGAGGCACTCACAGCAATATAACGAAGTAAGCGCCCCAGCACCCGTTTTTCTTCCTCCTCGCAGATGGGCGGATAGGGTCACAGACGAGTTCTTCAATCAAGGAGACCTCGAAAAGAAACTGGGACTTCCGGTAGGTCACCACATCCTCTATCCTGGCGCCGACCTTCCTTTCAGCCGTACAGAGGGTTCGTATGAAGACTATTGACGTGGTGGGGAGTATCCTGTCTTTCCGAGAGCGGAACTCGTTGACCGAACCGGTTTATGAGACGTAGAGCCGTTCGGCCATATGTACATGTGCCGAGAGTCCAGTCGTCATACCCATCCAGTTAAGTATCGTCTAGATCCAAATCAACAAAGGCGAATTATCAAAATTCCTACCTTAGGCGACTGCGAGCGGAGGCCACATACTAATGGTGCTGTTAGATCCACTCGATGTTTTCAAAAAGTCGAGGAAATTCACCAATCGAGGACACTAGTCGGCTTACATCACGACCTCTCAACCGCGAAATTTACGTATGCAAAACATCGATGTGCGGTACTATCAAGCTGTCGCCCTCAGTGGAGAGATTTGAGCAGCCGAGAAACTTGTTAATCTTTCCTGGAATCACGTGACAGACGGCTCCAATCTGGGTCCAAAATCAGAGTGCAGGACGATCCCTTTTGCTTATATGTGAGAATCTGAGCAACTGTGATTGCAATGTGCTTTCAGGTGTCACCAATGTGCGACAAGCAGGCGGCAGACATTCCGAGGCAACAGCTCCGCTTCATCGATTTCATCGTAAGTCTGCCCCAGTCTGTGAAGCTGGTTTGGAACCGCGTCTGACATCGTTTTTTGCGAGAAATGTTGGAGGCAAATTCACGAAAACGCTCTGTCCGCTCGAGAACTCACAAAAAAATCCGCCCTTCGCCAACGGGATTTGAAGTCGAAATGCGCCGTGTTTCTATGTGTTTCTATGTTTTTTTCTATGAACGAACGGTCTAATGCTGAACGCCGAGTGTTCGCTTGGTGCAGGTGCAGCCAATGTTTGAGAGCTTCGCGGAGTACTGCCCAGCCCTCGACGAATGGTTCCGGGTGCGTTGAACAAAACTGGCTGTTATATCGAGAAGATTGCTGTGACATTTCAGAATCCTATGCAGAAGCGGACAGACAAATTGTTTTATCTGCTACAAAGCTCGACTTTTGACGTAAGTCATTGTTGACTCAAGAGCTGCAGAACTGTGCGAAGTGTCTCTCTCAGAGGTTGCTTGGACTGTAGCGAACCAGCTGTCAGACATCACGTAGCTCGCCGGAACGCATGTTCCCAAGGTCAGAGAGTCCCGAATATCCGTCCTTTTTGAAATGCTTGAGCTCTTCGGTCGCAGGATCTGGAGAACAACAAAGAGTACTGGGAAAGCCAGTGCAAAGGCGCGCAGCAATGCTCAGGCAGAGCCATGCGGCGATCCAACAGCGAGAGGTCTCTCAAGTTGTAGGGTCGATGCTCTGACACAAGACGCTTAGCGGATTATTTGACATTTAATGGCTCTCAATGGACATCTGAGGTAGGGCGCCATCATTCGCGGAAGAAACACTGCACCTCCATGGCCGGTCAACCTCCACTAGCTTGCATAATCACCGTCAAAAGGTATCAATCGGATACAATTGAAGGTTAACGTTAGCTTTCAAATTTATTCTAAGCAGAGCATTGCACTGGACCTCACCCAACGTACGGCAGTCCATGAGAGGCCGGACTTCCATTCCAACCTAGGCAGCGTTAGTGGACGTGGCTAGTTCATTGCTTAACAAGGTACCGCAAACGCAAGCAACCGTTGAAGCATCCGGTGATCCCCAGGCCCTGAGGCTCGTGTCCCAACTTTCATTATAGCGAATTCTGCGTCACACGAGCCTCAGCACTTTTCATCGAATATATGCGTAACGCCTTTGAAACTTGCATGGTTGAGTGCATGAGAGCACTGTTTATAGGATGCAGTAGCTCCCATGGCCGCGATATGCGCGGCCTTGCATGAAATATAGGCAATGATGCCAGCCGCGCTGGCCGGTTATGAGTCCCATCCAGAACATGATGACAAATTAGTCATTTAGGGCAGCAGGCTCGGGCCCCACATATGTGCGGGCCCGTACTAGACGTGTATATAGGCCGCGCGTGATTGCATTGGACGCCGCAACGTACCGCTTATGGCATGATTGCAGTGCGCAGCGTATTACAGGTGTTTGCATGCCCGGCGGCCGCCCACTTAGTCCGGCACCCAATTAGATTGGGCGGCCCAGTCGGATGCATGCCAGCACGTGTACGATTCATATCACAGGCCCGGCGGCAGACGGGCCGTCTCTTCGCCTGCAACGGCGCCGCGCATCAGGGCTTGTGCATGTCGGATGCGTGACCGACCTCACGATGATCAGCTTTTGCTTTACAGGCCTCTCCTTGCGGCTTGACATGTCCGGTAAGTATGAAGGGTGCAATCTAGCCATTTCTGTCACGGTATGCAGGACAATTCAGGTGAGACGTTAAAGAAATAGCAACATCCTGCTGACTGGCGAGACAGCTCTGTGAGAGCCCACCTTTGCACAAGGATCAATGATCCAATCTACCGAACAAGTCCCTAGACGTTACCCTACGATTAAAGCGCTCAGTCATTGGCTGGCACCGAGCTGTTTTGGGGTCTTGAGCCGTGCTTTGAAATCCTCAACCATGAGCGGCAAGCCCTCACGTAAAGGCACTTTTGGCTCCCACTTGAGTAGCGCCTTGGCCTTGCTGATGTCAGGCTTGCGCTGGTGTGGGTCATCAGCAGTGTTTTCACGGTACGCAATCTGAGCGGCGGGGTCAATAACCTCCCGCACGACCTGAAACAACAGGAGGAAGATGTATACCAGAACCATAGGTTCTTCTGAAACGGGCAGAAGCGAGGCCCGAAGACTATGTAAGGGTGATCTGCCGCAGAGCCGGGTATGCAGTTTGTGCGACCTGTTAAGAATTGTATGCACGGCCTTGGATAGAGAAGCATCAATTGTGAGCCTGTGTCTCGTTAGAGACACATAAGGAGCATGCTGTGGGTCTGGACCTTTTCAAGTAACAGCATCATTTAGAAAGAGACGGGGGGGCTGAGCAGCTTCGAATCAGAAGCGTGCGGAAACAGAGAACTCTCAAAATGCCGACCGCAGCCAGCTCGCACCGTCTGCCTCGCCGTGAAAGGTGCCCAGACTGAACGGGTCCAAGAGAAGCCAATAATATGGAAAAATCCCTTCACGAGGAACAAATGAAGGGGTGTGTTGTTTTGGCGGAGCTCGACGGGCTCGCCAAAGGAAAGCATTTAGAATCTCCTGTCCTTACTTCTGAAACCGTAATGGGAAATTGGAGAGAAAGAAAATCGGGAAACAAACAGAAGATGTAGGCACCCAAGGGAACAGCTCAAGCGTAGTACACTCCCCGCAGGTCAAACATTCCGCAACTGTAAAGAGTCATTTCGCAAAGAGTAAAAGGGAAACGGCAAGTATGACAAAGATGGAGGTAAGCTGCGCCGTATGGCTGGGGAAATGATGGTCGGTGTGGATGCCCACCTCGGCGAGCTCGAGCATGGTAAACTCCTTGAAGTCAAAAGGTTTCCAAATTGCAGAGAAACAATTTTGGGAGATCGAGTGGGAGATTGCAAACTTAACGAAGACGGAAAAAGCTGCGCAGAATGGCTGGGAAATGATGATTGGTGTGAATGCCCACCTCGGCGAGCTCGAGCATGGTGAACTCCCCGGGGTTGCCCAGGTTGAAGGGGCCGATGTGCTCGCCGTCCATCAGGGCCATCAAGCCGGCCACCTGCATGACATCAGCATGATGTCAGCGAGGGGTCCGCAAAAAGCGGCCTCTGGACCGTCCGGGCCGAGATGCAGGACGAACCACGTCCACTGCTTTGCAAACCCTTGGACAGAGGAAAAGAGAGGGTATGGATGACGACATCAGCATGCTGCAAACTGCTGACATTATGGTGGATATGACGCTCGGGCAGAGGGTTGCAATTCCGGCTGCCGCATCCGGTATTGCTGAATGGACTCCCCTGCCCCTTCACACCGTGCGCCGGGCCAGTGCTGAAAAACTCCTCCACAGGCGCTTTCGCAAAAACAGGGTCCGTTCTCGGGGGCCGCGGATTGTTAACTGCTTGAGGGAGCGCCGCACATTGGCAAAATGGAAACAGGTTCACTAAGCCCACCAAAAATATAAACCAGGTTCAAAGCGGAAAGACGTGAAGAGTTACGAAAGCGCCGGCCTTGCAGAGCGCCTTACCAAGTCGGAGACGTACTGGAAGCTCCGCGTCTGCTTCCCGTCCCCATACACCGTCATTGGCTCTTTTCGCAAGGCCTGCAACGAAGACGGCGGTGGTTGGAGGAAACCCACTTGCGAAAGGGAAGCAATGGGAGCAAAGTATGCGAGCTGACGGTTTTTCAGCCCATGTGGCAATTTTCAGAAATTCAGATACGAAATGCGAGGAATCCTGACGCCAAAGGTTAATGGTGTGCGCGGTTCAAACGTTTTATGGCGGTATAGGAATCCAACAGCAGATGTCGACGCATTTCCTTTTTCTCGTCCTGCAAACAGCGCGCGGGAGCTCGCACACCGTACAATAACCCCATGCAAGAAAGAGCCGTCGAATGATACAGACAAGACGGCTGAGGCGGGCGTTACTAAGATTAATGGAAATTGGTAAGGGTGATTGTGTAATTGCTAGAGACTGGTACATGTTTATCCAAAAGGAAACGAAGGAGGGCGGCTTCCTTGTAGAGTACCTGGGCCACAAAGTTGCTGACGACACGCCCGTCGTCGATGAGCATGCGCGGGCCGTACGTGTTGAAGATACGCGCAATCCGCACCTGCGCCGTAGACAAAAGCAGAAATGCGATTTCGTTCCTCCCTGTGTGATAACTTCCTCTGCTAGTCCGAGCCACTCCGCTTTCCTCGTTAACTGGGCGACAACCACGCAGATATTCGTATTTGCGTTGAAACTTAAAGTCCCAATCCAGGCAAGCCTCTGTCCTTTGGCAAGTCCGACTTGTCCAATGAGATCCGCCTGGAACAGAAGCGGCACAAAGCCTCGCATAACGACTCGAGAAAGACATCGTTCCTGAATCTTGCTCCAGCAAAGCATCAAGAGCAGCAAAAAGCCGGACGCAGAAGGTGAAAGACCGCAATTTGGGCACGTCGAGCTTGAATGTTGAAACTTAATCGATCTGAGCAACTTACGTCGACCCCACTCCCTCGATGGTAGTCCATTGTGAGCGCCTCCGCGGTCCGCTTGCCCTCATCGTAGCAGCTCCGCTCGCCTGCAACAAAAATTCAACCTTATATTACCAGTTTTTTTAAAAAAATTCAGGAATTCTGCGAAAAAACGACGTTTCCAAACAATGGAACCCTGTAAGACAGGGTGTCTGAATGGTCTTGGTACCGAAGCAGCAAAGGCGAGAAGCAACGATTCACAGATCTTACGCATATCTGAAAGGAAATGACCCGCAGTAGCACTGTTGCGTTGCAGCATGTCATCTATGATCTATGATATTCGTTGCAACCATGAGCAGGCAAATGAGGTCAAAACAGCGGACTTGAGACGCTCCTTTTCGCCTTAATGTTGGGCAGTCCGCATGCACTATTGGCAGCGCTGAGCGATTGGTGTTGTCAACAGCTTTTGCAGATGGCATCAAAAGCCCGAAATCCCGCTCCCAACAAGCACTAGTCCTTGCGCATCAAACGTCGACACGCAATTGGATACTTGTTGCGAATCATTTGGCATCAACTGGGGTGGGTTCAAACATCCGGCTCCATCGCTTCCATAGGACGACTTTATGCGATTCAAGCACAGCCTTTTGAAACCACCAATCGGTGCATATTGCAATCAAGGATTATTCAGACTGCACAAAAGGGACAGCGAAGAGCAGAATGACGTTTAGTTACACACAGAGATGCTTTTCCAGCTGCTTTTCAACCATCCGATGCAGCTTTAGAACATTAAGAATAGAAAGTTAGCCTAGCCCATTTTCAGAACCAATCACCGTGGAAAAACAACTCCAACTGATGGAACCAGTGCTAACGAAGATAAATTCTGTGAGATAGGGACAATCGAGAAGAGGCAATGCAGAACGGCCCTAACAAGGACACCTTCGCACATTGACTCTAGCAATCAAAGACAATGACCCAAATCTTTCTGGCTTCAGTTAGATTGTTGGAGATCCCTGTCTGGCTTGAGTTGCAACGCCAGACTTTGCCCATCAAAGCCACTTGACGTCAATAAGCAGGTGGTCCGACTTGTGAGCTTGTGTCGAAGACCTTCCCCGTGATTTTGACTTGTGTAGAGTATCGACAGGGACTTGTGAGGCCTCAGGGATGCTCCTTTCATAGTGGCAATGGGAATGCGCCGACCCTACCAATACCGTTTCTCCATACCGAGAAAGGCTGTGCTCCCAGTGAGTAATCTCTACCTCGCCACCAATCTTGCTCATCAAACCTCGAGCGACTACAGAAAGAAACATGCAGCCCAAGAAGAGATGAGGCTCGTGGCAGAATACCGCAGAAGCTGAATGGACAAAGATGGAACGAGCAAAAGAGTGCACTCAAACTCTAATTAGAACAACTGGAGACAATTGGCACTCTTTACAACTCTGCTTTACGACGGCATCAGACCCGTCCGCAACAAAGAGGATTTAAGATTTCCAACAAGGGTCGGAATCATCAAAGCGGTACAAGTTTGCGCACAACAGCAAAACCGGAGTTGTCAGCCTGGGCCTCAAACGGTTGAGTAAAACGGACAACCGGCGTAACTGCCAATATTCCAAAGCGGCCCTCCACCAATGAAGACTAGCAAAGGCATGGCTAAAGGGCCAGAATGAACCGAGCGAAGAAAATTGCGGAGCTCTCTGAAGGCTATGTCCTTAAGCCCCCGCACGAAACTCAAGCGAATGTCGTTCATTTGCAGATTGATGAAGCACTTTCGATCAAGAAGTTGATCAGAAAAGCGTGCAATTCTTGGTCTTTCCTGGACTGCAATCGGTCCAGTCGGTTATTCAAGGACATCACCATACCGCCCAAACGAGCATGTGAGCACGGTGCGGACTAGAGCAAAGTTAAAAACTGTCGGAGATGGAATGGCGTTCTTTGCAAGGCTCTGGAGTCGGATGCTGCTTTCAACTTTCTATTTACATCATAGCCCGTTCAAGCGTGCGGCGAAACCAAGGGAATGTGACAATCAGAGAACTCTGGCACAAACCCAGCACGCAATAGGCGGGTAGCGATTCAGAAGGCGACGAATCACTTTTACAGTTTACAGAGAGGCTAACAGGCTCTGGCGTCGGAGGATAGGAACCCAGCATGGGCGAGTCAAAGCGCTCCTGCTAGCCCAGCCGCTAGTCTCCTCACAGCCAGTCCTAATATTTCGGACGGATTATCTGGACAGATTTTCTGGACGAATTTTCTGCAAACGCGAAATGTAGTAGAATCGCTGACCGACGACTTGCAGACGCATGACCCATGACGACACTAACAGAGAGGGGTATCTCAGAACAATACACCCGTCAACTCCGCAGCTCCATTGTCCTACTCCACTGCAACGACGGGGTGAGAAAGAGGCAATGGACTTTCAGATTGACTTACGAGATCAAAGCAACAAGCCGGCTCCTACTGATAGGCTCCCACTGATGATGAATCTGAGTAAGGGACAGACACAAAGAGAATTAAAACAAAAATGAAGGAGAAGGAAGTCACAACGCTTACCAAACACAAATGAACAAAGAGGAAGAAAGAAGTCACGACAGACAGGGGGAACGAAGCGATTAAATACCAGATAAGCAGAGCAAAGATGGTCAAAAGGGGATGATGCATCAAGGCGTACCAATTGGGTTAACGTGGCCCCAGTACTCCTCCGTCTGCGGATGCTGCTCCGGATCCCCGTACACCTCGCTCGTGCTCGTCACCAGGAACCGCGCCTTAACCCGCTTCGCTAACCCGAGCATGTTGAGCGTCCCCATCACGCTCGTCTTGATCGTTTTCACCGGGTTGTACTTGTAGAAGACGGGGGAGGCGGGACACGCCAGGTGGTAAATCTGGTCGACTTCGAGCATCAGGGGCTCGACGACGTCGTGGCGGATGAGCTCAAAGCGGGGGTCGCCGAAGTGGTGCGCGACGTTCTCGCGCCGGCCCGTGAAGAAGCTGTCGACCACGACCACCGAGTCGCCGCGCTCCAGCAACCTGCGCAGTTGATAGGCACGCTCGTGAGGCCAGCAATCAAAAAACAATACCGTTGACCAATACGAAAAGCCCCAACTTCAGCCCTCCAGATCGTACGGTGAGGTTGCATTTGATTCTCTCTGCAGTTGCAAGGGCGAATCTGAATCCTGCCGGCGACGTTTCCACATATTCAGGGGTCGCCGCGCTTCCGAAGTTTTGACTTGACATTTTTGCCCAGTTGGTGGACAAAAGGCCAAATGTGTCAAGAAAACAGGAGACATGTCCATTAATTACGCGGCCCAAACAGAAAAAGCCAATAAAAAGCTCATCCAGCAGGTCAGGGACAGGATACAACATCCTTATTTCTGAGCTTGGGTCCTCTTCTGGAATATCAACCACGATCGAGGTAAGTGCCCTGACCATCACGTTACCAAAATACACCGGGACAGCCAGAAGATGCTAAAAGGGCACGATCAAAACGAGCATGTACGACTTTCTCAGAATGTCTTTCCAAAGCCCGCATTGAAACCTGTCGGCGACAGAAGAAACAACCTCCGAGGACCAGAACAACTGTAATAGAAGCTGCTCCTATCAAAGCCCAGTTGTCATTCTAGAACGGCGCTCTGTCGGCCTTTCTGACGCCTGGGAAACATTCTGCTTTCGCAATTGTGCTACATTTCTTCCTTGCTGCTTAAACTTTCGCAAGCTCCAAATTGCACTAACTGGAAACTATGCCTTAGTTATAGGCTAAAACTTTGAAAACTCGTGTGCAAACTCCCCAAACATTGCAAAATGGAGCACGACATCAGTCGCCTTGAAAGGCGGGCTTTATATGGCCCAGAAGGACATTGGCTTGCACAGAAGGATCAAAACATATGATACAATGGTGATAGGTAGGAGAACCTTCCAGGGATAAATGCAGGTCCAAAGTTGGCGTCTCCACCACTTCTCGAAGTTATCCAAGTGTGCCGCCACTAACTATGCCCCATTTCATGGTCCCTATTGCCGAACCAGACCTCCGTCCCAAAGTCAGATCATCTTGGGTGAACAGAATTTGGTGCTAATTCTCTTATTAATATGCCCCAGTGGGCTTCACATCAGAATCAGCATTTTCAGTCCCGAACTTGAGATCTCAGTTGACGGCCCGTCCAAATCCTTGCAGCAATCCGGTCCTTACGATCAGCGAACCCTAATGCCTGCGACAAAATCGAGATCCGCACGAGACACCGCACCTGTCAACCAGATGGCTCCCAACGAAGCCCGCTCCTCCAGTCACCAGGATCCTCTTTCTGGATCGCGGCAGCGGCATCGGTTTGCTCTTCACAACCGCAGACTCGAGTCCCTTCTCCTCCACCACCCGTCTCTCGACCACCTCGTCCTCTTTCCTCAGAGAAGCTGCGCCATCGTCTTCAGTCTCATCCAAGTCTGGTTCGGCCTCCTTGACCAAAGCTGACTCCCTTTTGCTCTCACTCAATCGGGTCTGAGTGGCCCACTTCTCTTCCGCTATCTCGTCTACATCCATGGGGTCTACCTCATCGCTCCGGTCCTTCTTTTGCACTGCTTTCGCTGCGTCGTTGAGCTGCTTATCAACAGAACTTGCGGCATCGCTGGGCTTCTTCTTATCGACCTTCCCAAGAGCCTCGGCTTTTGTGAGCCCCTCTTTTGATCCCTCCACTTCTTCCAGTTCCGAAGGCCATGACTCCGTCACCCCCCCATCAGACTGGGCCACCTCCTCTGCATGGGTTTCAAACTGAGGTTCCGCGATCCCCCCGGAAGCATCCCCCTTCACAGTGACTTTTATCGGATTAGCCAGACTCGGCTCAGAGTAACCAAAATGCTGCCCTGTTGGTTGGTACACGTAAAGCAGAGCTGCAATTGCGATGCCGGTGAACACAAACAGCGCTTTGCCCCGACACAAGCAGCCCAAACCGCAGCAAACGTTTCGGGGGGGCGGCTTCCCGTTATAGCGGTGGGGCCGAGGCACCCCCCGGAACGCCATTGTTAGGGCTTCCAGCTTAAACCTCTTCGTTTGAGTCTCTTCAACGGATCTGAAATCGGCAAGCCACAGCAGATGTAATCCTTCTGCAGTTCAACTGTCTGCACATACGATTGCCTGAAAGTGAGAAAGTGCATCCAGGTGTGCAAACTTGCAGAAGCAATTTTCCAGAGGGATGAGCAGAGGAGCAAACGCCGCATTCCCAAGCCACATGCGGGCTCTAGGATCAGCTCCTACTACTAGATCAGCTCAGACCTGGAGGAAACGCCTGCCGCCCTGCCCATCCCAGCCGCGCACCCAAATCCAAAGGACATTGGTCCTTTCTGTCGTGCAGCAGCATGGGGGCATTCAATATTGGCGCGGATTCAAAAATCAGCTTGCTCAGGAGCCCCGCAGAGCCCCGGGTACTTAAAAGGAAAAGTTAAAACCTTAACCGAAAATGATACAAACCATTTACCGGCTTCTCGTACCCAATCTAACCCCGAAGCTAACCCCAAGTGTGCCTCGGGTGCTTAAATCGTTGTCAAAGAAAGATCTGAAAATTGAAACAATATGTAGGGCCTACCGTTGGGTTTGAGCACCAAGTCAGCTGATCAAATCACCCTATCTAGTTGCTGTTTATGCAAGCCGTGGATCATATCCATCGACGCCTCTTGTGAAAAGCTTGCTTGCAGCCGACGCAACTTAGCGCCGATTCTTAGCCGTCAAAAGCGCAAACTATGGTCTTGATCCTTATCGGACGGCGCCAATCCCTTCCCCCCTGGACACTGGTGGCCCTTCCTTCTCAAGTTTCCTCCGGCCATTGTGCTCTGCAAAGGAGAGCTCTGCATTCATAAGGCCGTCCGAACTTGATTGCCGGTTTCCTGTCCCCGACCGACCCAAATTTCGAGAAATGTCCGAGTCGGCTGATATAATATTTTGGTTTTGAGATGCAGAAACACCGATATCCTTCACAATTTGAGACGTATGGTCCAAGTATGAGGCTGCATATCAGCCGCAACCAAGCAAAGTCAATGCTCTGGAAGGTTGGTACCGGTGTCCCAGACTCAAACTTCTACCTGTCTGCGGCACACACAACAGGTACCAACCGGGGTGCCTCTTTAGAAGTCAAACGGGCCCGGTAACGCTAATATGGGGCAAAATAACCCTTACCATTTTTCCCAGAATATTTATCAAATCCTTCCGACCGACCGACCCACCCCTGGAGGGGGTGGACAGGAAACCGGAAATATAATTCGGACGGCCTAATATTCGAGACCTTGGAGGGCCATTTTCAGTGGGAATTTACAGACGGACGAAGGAGGTGCATTTCATGGGTGTTTAAGCTCGAGGGTATTGCGAATGTCCTTCCTCTCGCACAATTAGCACCTCTCCGTGGGCTTACCAAGCTTGCCGTCCGTTGTGCACTGTTCTCTGTGGTTACGTCAGTAGGGTTTGGTAAAAGGAGTCGCCCTTGCACAGCCTTTTGTGTGTCGGCCTGATAGTGAGGTGAGGATTGCACCTGATGCTTAATCTTTACTGCTTGATTCTCTCATGCTAGATGCTGTACGTCCAGTTGATTGGCTGCTTCATTGTGGTGTAAAGAGGTGATTCTTGACTCTGCGTTTCTTGTGGTCCGTCCGCCTGATTACTCCCCGTTTGCTAGAAGTGGCTTGTTTGGGTAATGAAATTCGGAGCTTTCTTCTGAGCTCTGCTCAACATCGTGACCTTTCCGCATTGAGAGGCACCAACAATCTGCAAGCACTTGAAATTTGCACAGGCAACCCCCAACGAACGAATCAAAGAAGGCACTCAACCACGCGTATGCTGGCTCCTGCTGTCAGTGAGAATATTCTCGGTTTGCTCTGCAGGCTCACTACCTGGTGTGATGGCTTCTGTTGCTGCAAAGCATGCTGGCTCGCTCCATGTCCAATGCTGGGCAAAGCAGCCTTCTGCCGTAGAGGATCAGAAGCTTTCATCTTCTTGGGAGCACGCTGTAATTTCGTCCGGAGCCAGCAGGAAGTCGGTGTGCAGAATGCAGGTGCGGTGCAGACGGTCTATCCTCCTCCATTCATCGGTTGGGCCACTTGCTGGCAAGTTTTGAGTACACTGCACATACACGCGCTCGCATATGGATTTTGCTCAAGTTTGTGGTCAGCGTGCAAGGAGGAAGTAATGGTGGGAGTCAAAAGCGATTGCAAGGTACACACAGCGGCCAGAGATAGTAGGAAAAGCAAAATCCTTAGCAATTCGACTCGCCATTTTGAGCATCAGGGCGTCAACTCCTGGCCTCTGTCGAGTACACTCAATTGCTCTTGTTCCAGATTATGGACGTTGCTGAACTGGATTCTTGATCGGCCATCTCTTGGCCCCAGATCAGATCACCTACTTTCACTTGCTGTTGTGCAGGTGAGGGGTTGGGGCCTCCCTCTGAATACGTTGGGACCGCGTATTCCGCAGCCCCGAGGCTGCAGGCGAGCAGTCGTTTCATGCGACGCTAGGCAGCCACACAAGTCTGGTGCTGAAGTGAGCAGTCAACCTCTGTCCTGGATTTGGTTTCCTGACAAAGTTTGCCACGCTGAGCACTTAAGGTTATGAAGTAACAAGCATCAAGCATAGCTGCTTGATACATCTGCAGCATTGAAGAGTGGTGCTGCCTGCAGAAAGCAGTCCAAGCTAAATTGCTTCTAAACACCAAACAAACTGGCATGCATTAACGTTCTGATTGAGGCTCTGATTTTCAAACAGCTGCTCAGCAATCTGGTGCAAGTATATTTGGGGTTTCTGACTCTGGGGACGGGAAGCAATTTTAATTTACAGACTCTATATACCCCACTCTGCTATCAGAATTTAGGGCTTAGTAACTCAAGGTGTATCAGTTGAACCCAAAATGCAAGGCCCAACTCATTCCTGATCATGATACAGTTTCAGAGGTCAAGAAAGCCGCCGCGTCAAATCATTTGTGTCAAACTGTGTTCCTTGATTATCATAACCATTGCGTTCAGAGCACGTATTTGCCGGCGGAAGGACTCAGTTCATGATTAGCAAACCGCCAAGCAATCATGATGTTTTGCCAATGTCACCAAACGAAGAAAACCACCTCACTCAAGGCTTTGGTTCTTGTGCTTCTGCAGCTTCCTGAGAAGCGGAGCCGGGGCGGCTTCCGGTTGCAGAGTGTTGCGTGGCTTCCCCTTGTGTTGGCCATGGCGTCAGAGACTATGACCGGCGAGATCCATGTGGATCCTAGCATGGATTTCTACACCGACTGGCACTTCTCGCAGGAGTTCATCAAGCACTTTTGTAAGCGAGGCCTACTGCCTCAGCCTGAGTTGTTGCCTTTCTAAATTGGATGCATTCCTCGTAGCAACTTGCCTCCAAAACCGACTGGCACTTCTCGCAGGAGTTCATCAAGCACCTTTGTAAGCGAGGCCTACTGCCTCGGCCTAAGTTGTTGCCTTTCTAAATCGGATGCATTCCTGACAGCAACTTGCCTCCAAAGTGCTGTTGAAGAACAGTAAAGCAGATATGCAGGCAACTGTCTCCCAAATCGAGCAGTTGGAGAAGGGCTTTTTGAGTCAATGAACTCCTCTGCATTCAACTACTTCGGAGTGTTTGAGACATGGCTCCTGAAAGCCCTCGGTTTCTTGCTTCAACCCTTGTCCAAAGCAACAGGTTAGCTGCTATGTATATGTTATCCAGGAGCCAAACTCGAAGGCCCAGATGTATGGGGAACCCACACCAAAAAGGAATGTCAGCAGTTGCACAAACTCGTTTGACTCTGGACCTCAATTTGTTGACTGTTGGAACAATGGTTGAGGCCACATCCAAGGAAGCACCGCCGTCGAGAGCAGACTTTGCTAACTAAAGTTCTTGGGTCTCTGACGAGGGGCGTTGTTTGGTGTGCAGATGTCGCATTCATTTGCTGCTTCTCCTTTGGGTGCGTGTACTTCGGCTCCTTGAAGGTAGGTCCTCCCTGCCAAATGGGGCAGCGCACCTTTTGATTCCTATCTAGGGCATCTTTAGAGCAAGATATGCCATCCTGTTGCAAATGCTTTCTTGCAAATCGCAATCTAGTTGCGTCCATTTCCTCAAATGTTGCTTGCCAGTCTGGTTTTGATTCTCATGCTACCTTTGTTCCGCTTGGATAACTCCCTTGTTGCTAGATTTACAGCAACTGTGCACTTCGCATCAGAGTCCCGCAACTCATGGCCTTCTTGGCAAGTGTGCTTGAACATTCTCGTTACTCTCTGTGACTCTGGACGTGTCAGTGTCTTCGACGTCTTATTTCTGTAAGGATGGTCAAAAGGCCTTTGCTTTCAGCTTCCCAGAAACCAGCCAGCTTTAGGAAATGGTATTATGACCGCCAGTAAGTCTGAGCACTTCGTATGCATCAATTCGGACCGATTTATGCATAGGCGGTTCCGCTGGCGATCAATGACCAGTGATCTCAATGGGACGGTTGCCGCAGTATTCCTTGCTTTGAAAAGTTGCAGGTCGTTTACTGATTGAGCCTGCTGCCTTGTGAAACATTACAGTAGACGGGCACGGTCTCTTAAGGTGGTGGTGCCCGAACTCGACCTTTAGCAGCCTGCAAAATCACCCCCATGAACCGTTTCCTTGCAGGATCCCTTCTATGAGGGTCCTGAGTCCGGCTACCGGGAGGACGGCGGAAACGGAACGGCGCACTGGTTCTACGACGTGGTAAGTCGCCTGGCCAAGCGTCTTGGGAGCTCCGTTGCCCTCTACATCTTGAAAGAATGGGAGGCGTTCTTTTGATCGTCAAGTGCTGAACAGATAGGGAGAGACCGCTCTGCCAGCACTCCGCCTACTTGCAACTTTTTGAGGAGAGCCTCGTCACTTTCCAGTCTGCACTTATGCAGTACATGTCGACGTAGGCCGCATCGACCTAGTCGGTCCCACTCAGTATGCGACATGACGTAAGGTCCGGCATTTGATTGGGCCGCGTGTCCAAACCTCCATGTGTCGATCGCAGACCGGGGTCCGAGCCGCTTCAAATATGATTTGATGCTTAGCGTCATTTTATCGTCATCTTTTGACCTTCTGGAGAATCGGACGGCTCCAGTAACCAATGCGTGCATCGAACGGTTTATCGGGCTACCTACATATTCATAATTTGCTCTTACAGATAACTTCCTAGCTACTTGGCTCATCTATTCCTACACTTATCTCTACCCTTATCTCTCGTTTCCCTCTTCTTTTCCCCTCTTTGCTTTTACTCTTATCTCTCTTTTCCTCTCTATCTCTTGCCCATCTCTTGGCTGTGAGTTGGACCCCACCTCAGAATGAAGGTGATTTGCGTTTTCGCAAGAGCAGTTCTAACTTCTATTAGCAGCATATCATCAGGCTGAATATCGTCCTTTTGCTCTGGACCTCTTTGTGGGCGGCTTCTTGAAGCTCCCTAACAACCTTTTTGGAGAGACAGACCGGCACTGTTGCCAGTCTGCATGTCGCGAAGGAGAGGAACTTCAGGTCCTTCTGTACTTTGGAGATGAAGTATGCATGTCGTCTTCTGCAGAAAGAGGAGGAGGAGGAGGCCAGCCGGGAGCAGCTGGCGAAGCAGGTGCTTGCGCTCGAGATGGCGCAGAAGGAGAAGGTGGTCCGGCAGCTGGAGGAGCAGCTGACCGTCAGAGCCGATTCTGCGGAGCCCAAGGAGACTGTCTCATCCTTGTGTAAGTATTGGTTCCTCATGTTGTTCTCATTTCCAATCTTGTCCCGGGGCTCCGGACGGCGTCACAAGGTGTCGCTGGTATTGAAATATACGAGCTTACTAAGCTATCCGATTAGTTAGTGTTCTCAGCGGGTGTGCTTAACTGCTGGCACCCTTGGAGAGATACGAGCTTACTGTGCTATCCGAGTGGTTAGTATTCTCGCCGGGTTGGCTTGACTGCTTGCGCCCTGTGAATTGTCCAGACTTTCTCGACAACATCGCTGCAAAGGCGGTTTGTTTTTCACCAAAGAAGAAGCGGCGAAAAATGGTATCGTGGAATAGGCACAATTCCTTGCTCATGTTTCTGCTGTGCGGTTCCAAAGCGTAGCACGTTTCCGGGAATGGACGCAACTCTGTTTATGCCACTGCCTACTGACAACCACCCGACCCATGTTGGTGAAAACGTGCTTCAACCAGGACTCGCTTGATGTGCTTTCGACATACTTTTGTATATGCTGACTTGTTCTGCGTCGCTTGTCACATTGCAGGATGGCCTAAATTGTCTGCGAATGATCAGGTATGCTTGCATGTAGAATCAGACCGCGTTGATTCGGGTTGTACATCACATCTTGATAGGTCGCATTGCTCGCACTCTTGACGGAGACTTGGAAGCATCTATCATCCATTGACGGTTGCTTTGACGCCGCCTACGCAGATGAAGCTGTGGTTTCACTTCATATTCTTAGGCGCTAGCTGTTAAAGCATTGAACTGTATCCGGCCACGATTCAAGGTTGTCTTAACTCTTGGAAATCGACTCTCCAATTTAGTAATCTTCAAACTAGCTAGACATGCCACGACGGCTCAGCAGTGGTCCAAGTTATCGAACCTTGCCATGCCCAATGAAAGGGGCCAACTTGACTGCAGTTTCAATGGGTATAATCTGTAATCGACATTGGGTCATTGTCGCCACGTATGTAACAGTGTCACACCAGGCCGCCGAGGTAGGATGCATATACTGTACAGATCGGTGCCAGCAGTCTTTTTACATTGTATGCTATGAAGTAGTAGACCATGCTGGTCCCAAGACTCTGCTTACTGTGCTATCATAGTATCGCTAGAATAATGTGAAGCTAATGATGGGCTAGGGGCCTTATTGCTCAGAGATATACATACATGCCAGGACACGCGTACCTAGCTACATCCGCGCATGCACAGTTGTAGTCGAGCATGACGATCATGCTCGCTTGCTCATGACGTACCTATATATCACAGTAGGGCGGGGGCATAGTGAGAGCAAGCCGCATGCGACCGTTACTGATCGATGCGCTGCGGCCCGATCAGCCTGACCTTCAAGGCTTACTTCCCAATCTTTTAATGACCGCATGTCATAATTGACACCCTATATAGCGTTAGGTTCGGGTTGGACTTAGCATGGGTTTTCTGATTGATTGACTATCCGGCTGCTGACGGGCACTGAACTGCATGCCATGATGCGCTCACTGGCTCCCGCAACCCAAAATCATGCGACTGCAAGAAGTGTGCCGCCGGTTCAAACAGTAGTGATCTCGATCATGAGCCTACTCTTGCTGGCCCACAATCACTACGTTTCTAGGCGATATCTCGGGATCGAAGAGGGGAAACATTCGCACCCCACCTTTCGACGCAGTTGATCTCTGTCCCTTTCCTAAACTGCCAGTGTACAGCTTTCCTTGCTCTGGAAGTGACGCGCTCGTACCCTCCAAGCACTCGTTCATGTACATGAACCGGTCAAGTAAAATCAGTGACTCTAAGGGTCCCGCCATGGCCGTCCGAAGGGTCCAAAAGGGTCCGACGAGATCCTGCACGGAAAGAGCAGCCGTGTTGAAAAGCTTTACCGTGGATCTCAATGTTCGATCACTCCTTACCCTCGATAAAAAAAAGGATGGAGAGGTCGTCTGTGTACATTTGCTCTGCGGGTTTGGGTCAACTGCGCAAGGGAAATAGTTGCAGCCACCTTCCGCTCTGAGAACCGGCCACCTTTACAGGGTGAGAGAGAGAGAGGTACAGGACGACCATTGATGTTTATGGTCACGCAGGGAAAAAAAATCAAGCTGATAAGTGAGGTCCCGTTTGAGAAACGGACAGCTCTCCAATGAGGCCGCACAACGTTCCTCATAAAGGGTGCATCAGAATCCGAGATTTCCAATTGCTGGAGTTCAGAGAACGCTTTCTCGAGAATCTCCCAAAAGAAGCGTTTCACCATACTTGAAAATGAAGGATCGGTATAAATGTCAATTCACAGCAACAGATAGCCTCCGCACACGCATCCAACATGGAATTGAGGAGCGACGGGAAAGCTCACATGAGAAAACAAACGAGGAAACTCGATACAGTCTTCGTTGACCTAGAGCGCGTCAAACGGCCTGAAGCACCTGTTCAAGTGCTCCGCCCAGAAGAGACGCGGTCAAGCGAACCCTCTTACCTTTGACGAACGGAGAGACTCCCAGACGTCCCCGATCTCGTTCTCGCTCACTTCCGGCAGGCCCAGCCGCTGCAGGGAATCCCTCGCAAACTCCACAAAGCGCGCGCGCTCGCTAGCGCGCTCTGGGGACGACCTTTCGTCTTCATACACCCGGGAAGACGCTCGGAAGCTCGTTTCTAGGGGGCCTGCTTCCGCTGCTACAGGTGTCGCTTGGCCGGCTGAGTCGGTCCGCTTTGACGAGGGACCAAGAGAGGACGGGAGGGTGTGATCGGAAATCAAGTCGGTGTCAGACGGGCCAATTTTGACGATTGAAGATGGCGAAGACCCCACATGACTGGACCTCTCTTCCTTCAACCTATCGTTTGCAAGTTCGGGACGGCACTCTGAGTGCACTCCCGGGCTCGCGTCTCTATTCTCAGCTCCACTCCCGCTCTTTCTAATATTTGCACCGTTTTGGCTCGCTTTTCGCTCCCCCGCGCATGCTACACTAGTCTCGTGTTTGCTTCCCTCAACCCCTTTGGCAACCCTAGCCGAGCTCGTTTCTTCGTTAACCGAACAACCGTTAATTGGGGGTTCGCTAGCCGGGGCTTCGCTGACCAGGGGTCCACTAACCGGGGTTTCGCTGACCGGGGTTGCGCTAAGCGGGGCTGCGCTAACCGGAGTTCCGCTAACCGGTCGCTTCTTCTGCTTCCCGAGCACCGGCTTCGTCGCCCAAACGGCCGGGAAGTGCCTCGCAAGGAGCGTCTGGAATGCTGCCCTCAGCGTGTGCTTCGTGATGACGTCAGCGAACCCCGCCTCGCTCTGCGCGCGCCACCTGTCAGCGCTCTGGCAGGCGAGCATCCGGCCGTTGATTCCCAGGCCCCCAAACCCCGTGGCTTTCACCGCCGCGCTGAGCGGAAACCCGTATCGCTGGTGTGAACACGCCCCGGAAGAAGGTCCCACCAGCCCCGACGGTTTACGGCTTGCGTCGCCAGGTTCGGAACAACACCCCGGGCAACTTTCAAGGGCAGACGTATCCTCCTGAATGTCCGGATGTAAGGATTGGGGGGTTTGGGGAGGGCCGGGAAGGGCGCTATTGCCACAAGCTGAGGGCTTTTGGGAATTTTGAGACCGACCGTTCTCAATAGTGTCCGAAGTCGTGGGAAGACTTCCGGATTGACCGTTCTGCATAGCGTCCAAACGTTTCCGGCCGCTTTCGGAAGAGCTATTCTTCGGACGAGCAAACGGCTCCCGCTTATCGGTGCATGGGTCACACTCTGGACGGTCGGATGGATTTCGGACGTTACCGGAGGAGCCATGTTGGGGAGAGGGTGAAGAATGTCCGCCGCTTTCGGACGGGCCATTTCGCAGACTGTCGGACGGCCCTCGAACGCTTGCTCGCAGGTTGGGGTTGGGGCGGCCGGTTGGGTTAGGGGAGTTTCCAGACGGAGGTTCGCTCGAGGCTTCGGTGACCAAGTTGTAACAGCAGCTGACGACGACGACCGCTTTCACGCTTGGGCACGCAGCAAACGTCCTGCAGGATGACGTCAGCAGGATGATGTCAGCAATCATTAACTCTACTAGTCGATCAGCGGTCGGAAAGTGCCGGGTGGTCATTGCGGATATCATCTCGTTCTCCTCGCTCAGCGAATGCGGGGAAAATAGATGTCGCCGAAAGGGAACTTTTGACTCTGTGCAGATTAGGTGGGGCTCCTCGCCGTTTACAAGGCGAGGAGCGTTTGCTGCTTAAAGCAAAATCAGGTAATTGACGACGACAAGAATGCTGGTATGACTGGATGCACCAGATCAGATCTCATGATGATTTGCTGGAGGACAACAAAAAGCGGAAAGCTCCTGGATGCCGCTGCAGGCACGCGAGGTCGTTCATTACATTCCGAACCAACGACCAGACAGAGATAGATGCACAAACAAGTACACGGGGTCCTGGTGACGAGAGGCCTTCAATTTACCATTGGAACGTACTGGACAGGATGGAAGCTTGACGTCCCCTCAGTAGACGCAAAGTCATCCCTTCCTTAAACACCAACACTCTTTCAAAAGTTCATATGCCGCGCACTGCACTTAGAAGCGGATAAGAAACAGAAAGCGCAAACCCACCTGAGCATGCTGGCCGAGAGATCGCCACACGCGTGGAGTCCAGCGAGCACCACCGGGCCGTCCAGTAAATGCTCCGCACCCCGCTTCTCGTGTCCATCTCCTATCCTCGCAAGCTCCAGCCTAAGCTTTTCTAACACCGCTCCCGCATTGCCGAAGTCAATCTTTGACGTCACTGCGATGGGCCCCTCGAGCAACCCGTCCTCAGTCGCTGACGTCCGTCCACTCTCCCTGACGTCATCCCGCTGTCTTCTGGATCGCCCTTTTCTTGCACCCCCCGTTTCATTGCCATGGCTAATTGTATCAAAACCAAGTCCTTCAGCCGGCTCTTCCTGAAAGAGCCCGTTGTCGTTATGAGGGGGGATAGAATTGCTGGTGGCGAGCTTCGTTTCTCTTGCTTTGCGACGGAGGTTGCGGAAGTACTTCGAGATCGACCCCGAGCGCTTCTGCATGACGCCAGCGTGACCGGGGGCGGCATCAACCGCAATGACGTCAAGACCGTACTGGTAGTACAGGACGTTGGACAGGTAGCCCTGTAAGCAAAATAATCTGTTCAGATTTGACCGTGGCATCCAAGCTTCGAAATCATTCCCTACTCAACCAGGACGTTGGCAGAATGCGTTTGACTTGGACAAGAAAACGACCACCAACTCCGAATCAAATCTGGGCAGCAAACGGATGCGGTCCCTGCCACTGCTCGAAGAGGGACGCCGCGACAAACTACCAAGTACCTGTCGAAAGTCCTCTTCTACCAGTGTGTCTTGGGCTGTATGCCACACCATGTCTCAGAATCTCAGAACTGAATGAGGGATTCATGAGGAGTCGACTCGAGATTCCAACTTACCTCATTCCAAACAAGGGGCCAAAAAATCACATAAAATAGGGAATTCAGAAACAGCCATACCTGGCCAGCACCAATATCGATTACAGTAGTAGCTCCTGCCTCCTTTGCAACCTTGGCAACCAGTGCCGCCAGTGCCGCCACCTCGTGCCGCTTCTTTGGGCTCATTCCCTGAGCCACCACATGGTCCAACTCCACAGATTCGGGGGGGTCCTTTTGACCTTGACCAGGAGGGGGGGTACCAGGTGGAAAACCGGCAACCGGACCAGGGGCGTTCTGTGGTGCCTCGTAAGCTTCTGCGAGTTGAAGGACCCCGTGTTGTGACTGTAGAGGGTTTGCATCTGGAGGGGGGGTTTCAGTATTGAGGTTGGGTGGGGATGTGTCAGGAAATGACAGGGGAAGAGCGGTTGTGGGGTCGCGCTTGAGGGAGAGGCGGTGCGCAGTAGAGATGAAGCTCTGTAGGGAGAGGGGCCATTCGTCCTGCCAAGAGAGGGGGGCAGAGATGTGGTAAATTCAAGGCTTGCCTTTCCATTCGAGATTGGAATGGAACTTCCAGATCATTTGTGAAGTACAGATACAGTTGAAGATCTTTATTAAAAAACAAGATGATAAATTCTGAAGCCCCAGTATGCCCCTCTGACAGACTGACTGCAGTGATTGATATGCTACCCCCAAACATAATTCAAGCAGCCAGGATGCTTCTTCCCTCTGTGGCTAGGGGAAAGCGCCGTTCGAAACTATTACAGTAGCTGCTCCATGTATCTGCTGAGAGTTATGTGATTGCCGACTATGGATGTTCAGGGCAACTCTCAAAATCTCATATAACCACCACTCGAAACCGCCACCATCAAATGCACCACCCTTCAGAAGGGCGACTAGAGCCACGGTCTGCCACTCAAACTCCCTCTCAATCTCATATCACGAACTTCATTAATGTCGTCAGGCATCGCATATCACGTTGTGTCCTCCCAGGTCTAACCTCAAAAGTTGTAGATTGTAAGAAAGAAACATGCTTCTATTTTGTTATGTGCCCCGCCCCCTGCACGTGAGTATGTAATTCTGACACGAAATTCCCTGACCTCTAAGTCTAAGTAGAAACCTCGCCACTGCACTGAGTCCATGACAGCGTTCATTCTTTGAAGGGGTTTCAGTCCAGATCGAGAAACAGAAGCGGTGGTTGTTATAATGTTTCTCCAAACATACCTTGATCATTCCAGCGGGTATGTGGAGAAGGTCGGATGTGCGGCTCGCCTGCAGTGCTACCATCCACTCAGTTGGAAAGATGTCGCGGAGAGGCCCATTGAAGATCTCTACTACACTGCAATCCCACTCGTCCCGATGATCGGCTAGACAGGTAACGAGCTCCTGCAAGTGCTCGAGAAGGCCCTGCATTGTAATTGCTTGGTGTCTGCTCGAAGTCATTGCTTCGAGGATGCTCTAGCGGCCATCATGGCGGTTCCCGAACAGCCCCAGCTGCCAAACCGTCCAGACACATGGAACTCCACACCTCAATACTGGCTTTTGATTAGCGCTTTTCTTTCAATTGGAGGATAGAAGTTTGTTGCTCAAGGTGAAATATGGAATGCAATGCTGCTAGCTAGCAGTGTCACAGTACGGTCGGTTAGGGTATAACCCGCCCGGCAAAGGCCGAGAGCAACAGCCACGCTGAGCAATGAAACCCCAAAGCCCGTTAACTCTTAACCTTATCTTTGGAGAAAATAAGGTGCAGAGAGAAACAGCTGAAAAGAGGAATGTTCAGCTGAGACTCAGAGAGAGAAACACTTTCTGCAGGCATGGCGCCCGCTAGTGACCTCCCAGGCGTGCCTGCCACACTTGCAAATCAGTTGCAGCAGAACAATCAAGAGCACATTCTCGATCATCTTTCAGAGTTCGAGCCCCCGCATCAACAAGAGCTGATTCAGCAGCTGGAGGGCATTGATCTTGTAAAGTTGGCCCAGATCTTCCAGGAGTCCATCGCTCCTGCACTACGAGCTGAACATAGCAATCAGACGGGAAGCTCACAAGAAGTTGCAGAGATACAGCCTGTCAAGAATGTGAGCACAATCAGTGGACGTACAGATGCGGAGAAGGAAAGATGGAACAAGCTTGGGTTGGAAGCGATCGCAAAAGGAGAGGTAGCTATCTTGCTGCTAGCGGGGGGTCAGGGGACACGTTTGGGAAGCGACGCCCCCAAGGGGTGTTTCAACATTGGGCTGCCTAGCAGCAAAAGCCTGTTTCAGCTGCAAGCAGAGCGGATACGGCGCTTGCAAGAGCTGGCCACTGGTGGTGGCGAGAAACGTGCCACCATTCCTTGGTATATTCTAACCAGCCCCTTCACGCACCAGCCGTCCCAGGCGTTCTTCAAGGAGCACAACTACTTTGGTCTGCCAGCTGATCAGGTGAGCTCAGAGTGGGGGTGAGCTCAAACAACAGCTGACTTTGCGAGCTTGATCCGAGCGACTGCGGTTTTGACAGTCGACTTGATTCACCTCTCACCTCTATACAGACGGATCACTCTGTGATCTGAGCAAGTAACATCCAGACAGTGGACTCAGTCCTCCTCTTATCCCTCACCTCCTACATCAACAGGTCACTCAGATCATCAAGCTCTCTGTAACGACCCCAAGGTCTCAGAGTTTTGCCGCTGCTATCTCTTGTCCGCTGATTCCTTGTGCCCCCACTTTCTGTTCGTTCCTCAAGTCTCGAAGTCCTGCCACTGCTATCTACTGTCCACTGATTCCTTATGCCCCCCCGGCAGGTCATCTTCTTCCAGCAAGGCACCCTCCCTTGCCTCGACCGCACTGGCCGCCTCATCCTCGCCACCCCCTCCACGCTCGCCACTGCCCCCGATGGAAACGGGGGGGTCTTCCTTGCCCTCAAATCCTCCGGCTGTCTCGCCGACATCTCTCGTCGGGGGGTCAGATACATCGATTGCTTTTCAGTCGACAATGCGCTGGTCAGAGTGGCAGAGCCAACTTGGATCGGACACTGTATAGAACGGGGGGCAGCAGCCGGGGCTCGGGTGCTTAGGAAGGCGCACCCCCAGGAAAAAGTGGGCGTGTTTGTGCAACGTGGCGAGGGGGGCCCAGTCGAGGTGGTGGAGTATAGTGAGATGGAGCCAGCACAGGTGGCGGCGACGGACCCAGAGACGGAGGAGCTGCGGTTCTCCTGGAGCAACGTGAGGGGATGTTTAAGACTTCCTTGAATACGAATTATTCTGAGACGCGCTGGGGCTCTTTCTTTCAAAAGGGAGTTTCAACTTCAACTTCGAGCTTCAAACTTCAACTTCGAACTGTGTACTTGATTCCATTGGAAGCAATGTGTTTTGGATTTTATCTAGCATGGTTTCATCCATCTTATTGGGCCCTGTTGAGGACGTACTATGATCTTTCATGAAGAAGCATAACGAAGAGTCAGTGGTGGTCATGGAAGGAGTAGAATGCGTTTCATTCCTGCTCTGGCATACCAGGCTGAGTCATAAAGCAAACTGATGTAGTAGTCACTCTCATATTATACGCAGCTTCGTCTCATCACTAACCTGAACTGCGAAATTTTGCAAAGAGAGTCCTTTCATCACGTATGACCTTTCTTCTTTTGAGCTAACTCAAAAAGTCTACTTGTACTGATTGCACTGGCCTACCTCGCAACCGCTTTGCGCATGTCTCCCTCTTCACTCCTTCGTACACAATGCATCCTTCTTTGGAAGCAACTTCCCTTCTCAGACTCTGCAAGCACTGACCTTCCCGCACTTTTTCCGGCCGTCAGATTTGCATGCACTTCTTCACGACGGCCTTCCTGGCGCAAGCTGCGGCCGCGCTCGAGCAGAGCCGCAACTACCACGTGGCCTTCAAGAGCATTCCCTCAATCACCGGGCCTACTCCGGGATGCAAGTTGGAGCAGTTCATCTTTGACGTGTTTCCGTTGGCGGGGCAGGAGGTCGCCCTTCTCGAGGTGAGGCAGATCCTGCCAAGATATGAAATTTTTGTCGTTTCAACCACGCTTATATTGAGAGGAATAGGCATCTATGGTATGGAATCGTTGGAAGGGAGGACCCGACTGATTGATACTGCAGCAAAGCAACAAGGACTGCTGAAACAGAAACAGTCCATGTTAAAGAGAATGGTGAGAACACTTTCCATTCAAAGGCCCAAATCTTCCAAAAGATTGCTTACTGCCTTCTGGTTTGCATCCGGATGCAAAATGGTGCTCTTCATGGAAAATGGTGGAATAACGTTTCATTGGCAGACTCGTTCCGGTAGCGGGAGCCAGTGCTGTCTGACATGACGCATCTTGAGGAAGCGCGAAAAACCTGAAGGAGAAAAAGTGTTGTTTGAAAGAGAGAGCCAACTTCCGGGGGGACTGAAAGAGGCGGGTTGAAAGGAGCAAGTCGAGCCATCGACGATGCCACCTCATAGTACTTCTTATTGTAGACGAGTGACTGGCTTCTCTTTTCTGTTTTGAGAGTAGTGGCAGAGGCGTGTGGGACGTATCTTCTCATAACATACACGGAAGGGATCGAAGAGGAGAGCCAGTGACGCTCAGGCCAAGACCCAAGCGATCCTCCCTGTATAGAGGGCGATAGGAAACGCTTTCCGATGACCATGGGATACTCGCATCGGCAGAGGCGGTGCTTTTGTGTTCAAACAGTGCTTTCGGCCCGGAGTGGCATCACTCCGCAATTTTGAATTGCAGTGCAGTCAAAGCAATGAACCTCGCAGCCAGCCCCAATCCTGCTTACCAGCTACGACGGGCACCTCGATTTCTATTATTCACCGCATCGAGATGTTTGAACGGTCTCGTTTCTCCCTGCAGGTTGCACGAAGCGAGGAGTTCTCCCCGGTGAAGAACGCACCCGGTTCTCCTTCAGACTCGCCAGACACGGCACGTGCCCACGTGCTAACGCTGCATAAGCGATGGGTGGAAGCGGCGGGCGGCCAAGTTGATGTGCAGCCCGGAACTGATGCGTCGGGAGTCGAGGTGTCCCCTCTTATATCGTATGCTGGAGAAGGGTTGGCAGAGTTGGTAGCGGGTCGTAGTTTTGTTGCCGGCAGGGAGATCATATGAATGATGCATGAGATGGTATCTGAGTTTCAAACATTAAGTTGAGCTTCTGAAGTTGAGATATTGAAGCATCTCAATTAATAGTTGAGGGCAAGCTGGCAGTGCTACGTGAAATAAAGCTAAAGCAGCGGGTGCAGATAAAGTCAAAGATGAGTATAATAACGGCAAACATCAAGTTCGTCATGGTTTTGATCCTGCCTGTAGCGCGCATCGCCGTCAAGCATCTTACAACAACAAAAGCACTAGACCTTACGAACCGATCTGCTCGCCATTCATAGAATGCTATTGTGCACTGCACATGCGTGACAAGGCGTGACGGCCGTCTAACTTGACATGAGAGGCTGCAATCTCGCTGTTCCTGAAAACGTCATGCCATGCATGTATGTCACTATGTCTGTATGAAAATTCTTGGGACGCGTTGGCAACTGGTTCAATCGGTTCATATTCAGAGCAATAAGCAACTAGGTAGCTTGGCCCTGGCATTGAAGGCAAGTATGACAAAGTTAAAAACAAGACTCTAGCTCTAATTGAGAACCTGGTCGGGCAACAGGATTTGAGCAAACATGACTTTGCAACAATCTGCAAAGTGTAAATTCAAGCGTCATATATGAACTATGTGCACAACCAAGCTTTTATGCATAATGTCACGCCCCAAAATCAGCCTCGACTGCCTAAGCTCCCTTATCCCAGGGGGCCTTTTTGACCGAAGCTTTCACACGCGCGTCTCTGGCTGCCCATTCCGCCGCACGCTGCTGGGCACGCTGCAATTCTGCCGCTTCTCGCTCCATGACTATAGCTTTGGCGTGCACCTTCAAGAGCTCTGCTTCCAGCTTTTTGACGGCTTTGTTCACAATCTTTGTACTCTTAGTGGAACAATAGTCTCCGGGTGAGGAGCGATCCAATTCGTGGAGAAGGCCCAACAGCCAGCGGTATGAGGCAGGCGCCGCCGGTTGCGCTCCCTCAAAAGCTGCCTGCTGGCGCCGGAACTCCGCTAGAACAAGTGGCCAGAGCTCCTGTGAGCCTATGGCAATGTGCAAGTCTTTCCGTTCGGGGTTCCTGTAGGCACCAAAGAGCCGCAGCAGAAAAGTTGCGAACTGTTGAAGCTGTTTGTCATAGAAGACTATTCTACCACCTAGCACCGACAGCTCCTCTGCAAAGGCCTCCGGAAACTCCTTTTGGTGCGATTCCCAGCACTCAAGGAGCCGCGCCGCATGGGCAGCCAACTGCAACTCTCGTTTCATCTTTTCCTCTTCCGTTATTTCCCAAAGGTATGGGCCGCTCCATTCAGCCACTTCACGGAGAACCCACGCAATGACGACAGAAGGAGCGGGTGTGAGGTCGTCAGTTGCTGTGTTCTCTGCTCCAAAATCTGTCCCTTGACAGGTGTCAAGAAGCTCCAAGTTCTGTCCTTTCTGCACGTCCTCTGGAGAGATGCCGTCAGCAGGCGGCGGCCTGGCGGCTCCGAGACAAGAGCAAGCGACGCCCATCGCGTCCAGAGCGGAACAAAGACATGCAGCTTTTGCCGAGGGGAGATTTTGCAAGCATGGCCGGCGCGTAGCAGCCGCGCGCGCCTTACAACGGCGGGTTTGGAGGATCAAGATTCGAGGTTCATCGTTCGTGGAGAACCGCGGGCGGCCGGCCGCGGTAGGCGCGAGCCAGCCGACGCACATGCGGCTGCGCGTGCGCCTCGACGCCATTCGATCACATCACTTTCATGTTGTAAATAACCTCAGTTGCGTTTACGCGTCATGCCAGATATCTGGCCATGAGCTCGCCCGCGTTGTTGCAGAGCGTCTCTTCCTACTTTCTGACTTTGTCGCCTTTCTGACGATGTATTTATTGAGGGCAAAGGTCGGAGAATTTGCGCCGACGTTCATGCAAGTATTAGTTGATCTTGAACCGCCCATCGTAGACCAATTGCACAATATACGGAAGTCGATATACGCAATACATTGAAGGTTGGCTTCCTAGCAAGGAGTACTCTAGCATGCATAGAATTGGCGAGCAGTTAAATGTTTCCCTCCTGCCGGGCCGTGCAGGTTGGAAAGACGCTACCTTCAATTACTATTATAGGCAAGCACTTATGGTTTGAAACTTCTTAATCCGGAAGCTTTGATCGATTACGATATACATGTTGGTAAAGTGCGGAGAAGTTGTCACAATCAAGGTAGGATCCAGAGTTCCGCATGACATTCAGTGTCAATAGCAAGTTTGTTATACGTGAGTGCCGGAGAGACGGTTCGCAGGAGCTCAAGTCTCTTTGTCCGTTCAAAAGCTTGGGTCCTGAATTTTTTTGCAATGATGATATAGAATAAATCCTCGTATCTGCCTGAATACATTTGTTCAAGGTGCCTCGATCGTGCAAACATAGTGATGAGATTTGCAAACGAAAAGGATGACGACAAGGCGTGACGACTGTCCAACTCGGGGGTCTGCTACAACGCTTCGATCCCGTGCTCTCATCAAACTTGGATTGCGGTTCCGCAGTTCTGAAACGGTCGTTCATGCATTAATGCATGATAACATCTCGGCCATTCGCAGCTAGTCTGGTTTTCTTTCCAAAGAAGCTCAGCAACTAGCAGATACGAGACGGAGGACTTTTCTCAGGCTCTGACTCTCCGGGCAAACAACTTCAAGCAAACGACTCTGCGACAATTTGCACACACTGGTCGACGAGAGCAACTACGTACAATCGTCATCGTATTCTGCTTCAGTGCACCGTATGCCCCTACTGACATCACGCCATTCCCTCCACTGCAGGTGCTTCCTTATCCCAGGGTGCCCGTTTGAGCGGAGCTTTCATCTGTGCAATTCTGGCTGCCTCTAGCTCTCCCATGGCTTTTCTTTCCATCTCGATAGCTTTGGCGTGGACCTTCAAGAGCTCTGCCTTCACTGGTCTTATTGCTTTCCACACAGTCCCTGAATTATCAGGGTAAAAACATGCGTTGTACAGAGGCAAGGAGCGATCCACCTCCTGGAGAAGGCTCAGTATCCAGCGAGTTGAGGCCGGCGATGCCCCTTCCGCTTTCTGAGCTGCCTGATCATGCTTCCGGCGGAACTCCGCCAGTAGGGGAGGCCAGAGCTCCTGTGAGCCTATGGTGATGTGCAGCGTGTGCAACGTTTCCCCCCAGCAGTATTTGTTAGCGCCAAAAAGCCGAATCAGAAGATGCGTGACCTGACGGCATGCATCGCGGCTTGTGTCATCATCACCACCTTTGAAGGGCACTGACAGCTCCTCTGCAAAGGCCTTTGTGAGTTCTTCTCCATGCTTTTCCCAGCACTGAAGGGGCACTGAAGCAGCCGCGCCGCATGGGCTGCTAACTGCAGCTCCCTCTTCAACTGATCTTCTAGCCGATTCCAGTCAGCCACGTCACGGAGGACCTACGCAATGACGACAGAAGGAGCGGGCGTCAGGTCCTCCGCTGCTGTGTTCTTTCCTTCAAGCTCTGTCCCTTGACAGGTGTCAAGAAGCTCCCGATGGCCTTTTTGCACGTCCTCAGGGGAGATGACGTCAGCAGGCTGCGGCCCCTCTCCCAAACGGGTGCAGGACGAACCCATCTCGTCCAGAACGTGAACAAACACACGGTATGCTGCGGCATGTGATCCGTATCAACCGCATGCCAGACCGGCGTGTAGCACCGCGTACCCGCGCGTGGGGGTTTGAAGGTTTTTAAAAGAAAACCTCTGCCTGCGCGGCCGGCCGCGGCAAGCGCGTTTGACATGCGACGCGGCCGCCGGCACACGTCCCCGGGGCCGGCCGGCCCAGGTTGGGAGCTGCACGCCGTCATGCCTGGTACTATAAGAAGCAGGCAGAGGTCTCGCAGAAGTTTGCAGACGTTCGATTTCTACTTTCAGAGCAAGATCGTTGAGTCGCTTTCCGTGATCTGGCCAGTGCTCCAATTGATATGCCTCAAAAAGCCGTATCGGTTTTCAATCAGCGATTCTTTTGGGTATATGGCTGTCGCACAGAATCCTAGAAGATTGGTTGCAGACACCTGTTGCAATGTCCCGCAGCCTAAAGCCTAGGACGACCGTCAATTGTGACCTCGGGTTTGACCAGTACTTATCGAAACGCATTTGCGAGGGCCAACCGAAATTTTATTAGATTCAAGTACTTAAGCGTTCAAACGCCAATATGCCTCAAATTGCCCATCGACTCGTCATTTCTGTTGAGAACAATAGAAAAGGAGCAGGATTCGACTTGGGTGAGAGTAATCCGGGGGCGTCTTGATTGTTTAATGCCGGCCGAGTCACGTGCTTCCGCATGAATCTCCTCAGCACTTTATGCGAAAGGCTCAAGCTGATGGATTCCTCCGCTTCTTTTCCGAGGAGCTGAAACGTGTCGGCCAGATCTACCGGGGTTCGTCTGAGCGCCGTCAGATCGATCTGCCGGGGTGACGGAAAAGTTACTGTTGCGACAAGAGAGTGCTTGACCATTTTTGCCGGCAGCGCCTCCAAGAACATGTGGCTGCGCGCACATTGCAGCAGAACTCAACATTGGGAGCGGGCGGAATTCTCCCCGAGATTTATACGAACAATAAAGTCAAAGCTCGTGCTAAGTACGAGGATGACAGAGCGACGCTTGGACGCAAATCGAAGGGTCGAAGTTCGTCAAGTTTGCTAAGTTGTGCGCCGAGACGAAGTTGAAACCTTTGCAACGTGGAAACGGCTCGTTTGCGGCTGTGCGTCTCAACGGTCTGGCCCCGTCATTTGCAGAGACACCACACGCTAGAGTGCATTTGAAGCGTGGTGCCTCGGAACGACGTTACAGGTACAAGGCAGTCGCTTTCATCACGATGACTAGAAGACCACGCAGTTCTCGTTACTTCGAACTGTGTCCGCGCTTCGAAGCATCCAAGTCTTCGTTCGACCTTTCATTATGACTCTCGTTGCTTTTGTAAGCCGCCTTCGTTCCGTCTTCATCACGTACATCTAGCAGCTAGCTGGCTGAAGCGTGACGGAGGTGAAATACCTAGGTGGTTGCTGTGACGCTTCACAGGTTCTATCTGAACATCAGGATTTCCAATTCCTTCAAACACTCTTAAGAGGGGGAGCAGACCGTTCTATTTTTGCAAGCATCCGTCTATCCTCCTCGTCACCTGGTCGAAAACTTGCCCGCCCGCTCAAAAAGCATGGCTACGTACCTTGTCCATCTTTCTGCCGCGCCTCGCTCTCGCCCTGCACCTCTTATGCGCCTGCGCCCTCCGAATCGCGGCGACCACCGGCGCCTCCCGCAGACTGATATAGTCGCCCCTTTCGGCTCTGACCGCCCCAGTGGCGAAACTCGCACCGCTGCCAGCGCCATCGTTAGCCCCAACTGCCACGTCGTCTCTGCTCGGCCCGGGGGGCATCCAGCCGCGTAAAACATCCCCCCCCGGGCCGGCGCCTGTCGTGACGTCACGGACCACGTTACCATCTGTCCCGACCACCCCAAAAAGCGGCCCGATCACTTCACTGGCTCCTGCCCCGGCGCCCGGCCCGAGTCCTGCTCTGGCCATCCTGGCTTCGGTCCCGAGTATCAACTCCGTCGATCAATTTTTGCGGGTAGCAAATGGCAAGCAGGTGAGCTGTCGACTTGTTCATAATCAGCGGGTGATTGTTTCTTGATGAAGCTTAATGGGGGTTCGGAGTAGGAGGCACCTCGACGTGGTGATCCCGTCTTTCGGATTCTGGAAATTCGAAGCGACGAATAAGGATTCTGCAAATATCTCCTTCAGCTAAGCAACAAAGGATCCAGCAATGAGCTATAAGTAGGAGACCAGAGCTAAACTAGGCCCCTGATCTCATCCTCTCCTTGTACTGAGGATCACTCAGCCTGTCAACGGCAGAGTGTTCAAGCTGCTTGATGCGGTGCATATATGTCTCAACCAGACTGGGCGGCACGAAGCTACTCAGGGTTAACAAACCGGGTTTAACGTGTGGTCGTTTTGGGCGACGTTCGGCGCCTGCCCAAAAATCATGTATGCCGGGCTGTTATTCAGATGTCGGCGACCGGAAACAAGGTTGAGGAAATAATCATCTTTCAAACGGTCGAAAATGGATGTGTGTCACGGCATCGAAGTTGCTCAAGAGCAAACCCTTCCCTCTGCAGCCGGCGATCATTTTCTTCACCGCAAGTTCTTTCTGTGGACCATGCCGTGACATCAGCTCAGCCTTTGCGCGCTTGGAACAAAAGTATCTCAACATCAACTTCTTCAAGGTTGACGTCGACGCGCATAGCGTGAGTGCCTCGTTTGAAAAAGTTCTTCCGAAAACTCGAGCTGGCGACTTGAACTCGCTGCGAGAATGAACTCGCCGCGGGAACAGATTTTTTGATTCACCCAATTTTCCCGGCCCCATCCTTTATATCTTAATTGAACCCACTTGTGCTTATGTATTTGATCTTCGATTCCTTGCAAGGAATCATGATTCATGTCTTTTGGCCAACCTCTGAAATCGAGCGGAGACTTTGCTTTTGAGAACGGCCTATCAGCCCATGTGACCTGCTGATTGCTTCTGCAGATACGAGATACTTGAGAAGACAACTCTGATGTTTGTATGCCAGTAGTGATGACGACATGTCACTTACTTTCAAAAAGTTCTATATTCGCGACCACGCCGCGCCTAACTATTCAATACTAAAAGCGGGAGGTTTGTGGCAAATGGCACATCTCGTATGCTTGTACCTACATTAAATTGATGTAGGTCGAGCTCCCTAGTTCTCGGTTGAATTGCGGTCAGAGCCTGACAAATTGCGAGTTTCTACATCTAGGTTTTGACATTTCGTGAACACAACGGAGTGAAAGAGATCAATCCTCGACTGCTGCGACTTTGACAATGCAGGATATTGCGCTCGGAGTGGGAATCCGCGCACTGCCCACGTTTATTGCTGTCAAGAGTGGGCAATTATTGGGCACAGTTCTTGGGGCAGATTCTAACGCACTGCAAAAACTAGCTGTCAGAATCTCCTCTACGTGGACAGACGTAGCCTCGAGATCGCTTTCTTGTCAAGCAAGAATCGATATCACTGGACTAGCTTGGTAAGCCTCCCTCGGCCAGACGCCTTGGCCAGACGCAAGCATAAAATTCCAAGGATCTTTTCAAATGTATGAAGAGAAAGACTTCTTTTAGACACATTTCAGATGAGGGAATCAACTCGAAGACTCTAAGGAATGATACATTTGAATTATGACTGATCCCTCTGCATTACCTGCTCCACACGGAGAAGAACTTCAAGCCTCCTGACGCTTGATGCCAGGCCAGAATACAACCTCAGAAATCAGAATAGCCTATCAATTAAGGAAGCTCGGTCGTCCTTGGGCTGCCTGCATGTCACTACTTGGTACTTGCATGACAAACCTTGTACTTGGCATTTCCAATGCTGAGCGCAATTCCTTCCGATTCTTGAAGCAGACAAAAAGCACTCAAGCTTCAGTGCCCTTGCAATTCTTATGGACCGTATCATGAAAAGTCGAGCAACTCGGTCTTCCGAACGGAAACGGATGCCCGTCGTCACTTTTGGCTTCTCGTCTTTGGGTCCACTTCCGGTTGTTTCTTTGCGTGCGGAACGTGTACTTCTTTGCTGACCGAGCGTCGTGAAGCTGATCTTAGAATCTCTGGACAGGTCCAGACACTCGCGGACAGAGGATACGCTAGCAACTGATTACAGCTCGATGATGACTGGGTAGGACAGCAGCCGTAAGAACCGTTTCCACGTGCTAAGCAGCTGCTGCAGAGCTTGATAGGATATAAAATGTTCTGAACACAGGCGCTTTTGCCTGGAATTTAATGCCTTACACGTGCATAAAAAACAATCCAAAATGCGCCTGGGCCCGGGGTTTGAAATGCGGCATCATGACGCACATTCGTCGCGGCCGCCTTGGCGCCCAAGGGGCGCCAGATGTGCTCGCGGCAGATTGTCACCAGATGGACGCCACATCTGCCACGCATCACTCACGCACCTGATATTTGTTGATTCACGTCATCGATTGACGCCACTCATGCGCCCAACGAGCGTATGCCACGTATGCGCTAAGTGGGCGGAAACTTTCTATATTACTTTGGTGCCAATGGCAGTCAGGGACATGAGGACGTGTGGCGCCTAAAAAGCATCACTTAGCTGGGGGGTTACTTTGTGATGCAATCGTACATCGCACGAGAATCTCAACCGAGCACGGGCCATTTCACGTGCCCTTGGCCAGAGCGACATGGGCAACTTCGAGGACTTCGAGGTCACTGGTCTCAGGATTTTCAGAAGTAATAGCCATCAGTATCCGTGGAAACTGACAGGCGATTGATCACTTGTCGGAAGGCTTCGGCGTGGTCGGCGCAGGGGTGGTCGGGGCAGGGGTGGTCGGGGCAGAAGTGGTCGGGGCAGGGATGGTCGGGGCAGGGAGGATTGGGCTAGGGGCGGTCGGGAAAGGCGTCGCAAGCGCGGTCGTGTTTGCTGCACAGGTGCAAGGTTGCCTTTTAAGGGTCAGATGTTAGCCGCCCGTCAGCCGTTTGAGTGAATTCTGTCAATCTTCTTTTCGTGACAGCCTTCTCAGGAAGCAAAGGCGCGGATGGAAGACTTAGACTCTAAAGGTGTGGTTCGTTGATCTTCGACCATTTGAATGTAAGCGTGATGCGTGCGGCCCAATGAGTTGACAAGCTGCCTTAGAAAGACCGGATGAAGGCTGGCAGGACAAGACGTCAGTAGTGAGTAATCCCAAATCGCATCCGCTTCGCAGCAGACTCGAGTCCCTGATCGTGGGCTGCTCGCTTGTAGATTGTCGGGCAATACTAGAGCGGTCAGACTCTTGAAGATGCTTTCCTGTCCAGAAGGTCCGCCTTGGTTTGCTTACAAGGTTCATCAGAATTATGTGAGAACTTTAGGTTTAAGGAAGAGATAGCGTAGAACTTCCTCGGGAGGCAGCATCAGCCAAGCTGAAGCCTGAATACGTTTTGATATCGAGCTCAATCGACGAGCAGTGCAGGTTTCTGCCTTTGTCTATACCGCTCAAAGTTCTTCTCATCACTTTCATTGACGAGTCCCTCTGTAGTTGCAACAGGGGTAATGAGCATTCGGTTGATTTCTGATGTACTACACGAATCAATGTTTCGAAAATAAGATTCAAGTAGAATGTGCAAACCTTGAGAATTAGCTTGACACGCACTTACCAGGACACAAGCCAGCATTGGCTGTCGCTGTTGGGTAGATATTGATCACAGGAGCGCCGGTATAGTTGTATGCGCAATATACTGATGCTTTGAAGTCGGGGAACTGAGGCCCATACACGAACACAAAGTAGAGGCAGGCAGCCCCGTAGAAGGTAAGCGGGGGAGCCCCCCTGGGGTATGAGGCCAACAGAGGGCACGAGTTTGGAGCAACCGTTTCTGCAAACAGAGACATACACCGGGTTCGATTTACTCAAGCTGATTGAGAAATATAAATGGAGATGGAGTTGAAAAGAAATCCGCGAAGTGAATGTACTTCATAGCGCCAACAATGGTAATGCAACGAGTGCCAAGTCAGAACCCCAGAAGCGGCCGCAGGTAGGCATTCAAGGACGAGGCGGAAGACGAAGCGAAGTGGAGTTCCTGGGTCCGTTTAGAAAGACTCGCTGATCAGAAGAACGGCTGGTTAGCCTAGCCCAACTCTGGGGGCCTATCCACCTGCCAGACAAGGGTTAGTTCTGGTGAGGCATCGTCTCTGAAGCATGCTGCAGGGAAAAAGTTTTGAGTCTGTGTTACATTGAAGCTAGGCTGCTACTCATTCTGCAGAGTATTTTCCGGCTGCACACTTAGAGGGTCGTACGTGGATCTAACACTACGTATGGTAAGACCGTTTCAAGATCAGATGAAAGAACATTGGGAACTTGTTTTAACTCCGAAGCTTCATCTACAAATAAGATGGTTTGAAAAGTTTCACTCAGGAGGTCACCACTGGCACTGATCACAAACCCAGCAACGTTCAAAATTTCCCTGAAAACGTAAACGCTGAAACGGTAAGAACGGTTCTGTGTTCAATAGCGCTTGGCTTTGATTGGAACACTATCGCCCAAACGGGTCCTCGATCGGCCCAAAACACTATAAGCGGACTGAACACAGTCCTAGGATGCAGGGTGACCTGGTGGTTTGTGTGGGTACGAGCTGCGCGGAGCAGGCAAACCTTTCTTCAGGTTATATATTAAGCGAGGTCTTATTGACGTTCAATAGGCAGCTTATATCAACTTGATCGAGAAGGACGCGAAAACGGGACGGAGAGCAACTGGCGAGAGCAACTGAGAACTGACCGGGGCAGGCACCCGGGGGCGTTGGAGGATTTTGGAGGATACCGCTGGTGTCGTAAGTGCAGGGTACTACTCCGACGGGACGGCCGGGTAGAGTTGGATACGTGAAAAGGCAGTTTATCTGATTCCACGGTTGCCCTTGCAGCCGTTCAACGGGCGGGCACACGGACGTCCAGAGAGCTGCGGTTTCAACGGAAGACAAAATCAGGGTTAGTCGATGATCAATGGTTCTTTTGGATTCATGCTTGATCGAAAGCGACGGAGTAAGCGGGCCGTTTCCAAATGCGGGAAAGATTCGGAGCGGCAGAATGCATAACGAAGCAGGAAGATAGAGGTATGATTGGTTTTGCGCGTGGAAAACTTCGATAGGGTCGGTCGTGTCCAACGGATGACAGAAAACGTGAGGATGCACTGGAGTCACTGCCGATAAGAGCCTTACCACGTCTGATACACCGGGGTAACTAAAAAGCTGAGCGCGTTTTCAGATTACGTCTTGAGGCCAAACCAACTTTGCGTCCGGCCGTGAAAGTATCAACTTAGAACCCAGCGTTCCAAGATTTAAAAAGGCTGAAGTACCCACGGGGTGTTGGTGTAGGTACCGGCATCGGAGAGAGTGTCAGTTGGGTCTGCAGTGGCTTGCGTTGGGCGACGCTGGTCGTGTGGCCGGGGACACTTCCCGGGCTCGAGAGAGAGTCTTGGTCGGACCCGGTTGCTATCACCTGGGCATGGCAGGAGGGATCAAGCATACTCTATTTTGCAGAAGTGTTTCTGGCAGAAGAAATTCAAATGTTAAAGGGTTTCGATACCAAGCTCGGTTGAGCTTGGCTCAATCTCCCTCCACTTTGAAGTCAGCTGGAGCTCCTTGATGCTTGTTTCATGCTTTTGAGTCTGAGCGGATCCTAAGGTGTCATGCTTCGAAGCAGAACAAATCGAAACAAGGACTGGATGTACCGTCATAAAAGGTACCTGGTATGAATCGTCGGCCCTTTGGAGCGCAGTAAGTTGGAGCGATGAGGTGCCACAAACATTTTAAAGGAATGATGAGGCTGGCTAAGCGAAAGTGGAATCATTCTCATCTTGCCCATCATTCAGGGATCTACTACAAAGTTCCTTTGAAACCAGGATCCGGTAACATTTAAGCTTGACTATATCAGGAAGAGTTTGCAATATTAGGCATACCATACCAGGTTTACAAGTACTCCCGAGACACAGAAGAGTACCTTAGAGTTGACGGTTACAGATCACGCGACAAAAGAGGACGAAATTCATCTGTCTCACCTTACTCAGGTATAACATAAGAGATGTTTACAGAGATCGTTGAAGCCAAGTTCTCCTCACCTTGGACCTCTGAACAAGGAAGAAAAACAGGCAGACAAAGACAAGCGAGGAACAGTAGAGGAGCGCCATGTACTACGCGCGCGCAGCCTAGCGGCGGCGCCCGGAAATGACGGAGAGGTGGCGCCTTGCTGAGGGAATGAAGTATCGATCAGGAGTGTGCGAAACAAGCGGACCGGGAAGGCAAAGTGAAAGACAAAGCTTGAAAGACGTGCAAGTGTTTATGCTCTGGCGAAAGACTCGCTGAGACAATCTGGGCGCCGGCCGAAATTCGGAGAACCTGGCAGGGACGACCCTCGTCAAATCACTCTTGCATTCGTCTACAAAGCAACCCCTCGAACCTGATCCATACCAGAACTACTTTCGGGCATCTGGTCTCAGCACAGAGGGACCGATCGATTTGTGGCTGTGGCTTGACTCGAACTCCAAGGATGTGGATCGAACTCCAAGGATGTGGATCTTCCGGTTGACGACTGAAAACTTCGAGGAGTCTCGACTCTTCTACAACCTGGCTAGGCTCCCGTTCAGAGACTAGGTAAGTTCCTGTGCAACACGCGTGCAATCCGCAGCTACTTCATCTTGTGACTCGTCTTAACCTTGTGCGATGATTGTTGAGGTCTCTATAAGAAGCCTTGGATTCCAAAAGTCATCAGCGTGGCAGGCGGTTAATAGTTACCCAGCAGCTAGAGATCCGAAAGAATCTGGATCGCAACCTGAAGCGCGCACTTTACGCGCGCTTGCCGCCGGCCGCAATAAACGGGCAACGCGCGTCGGCCTGCTTCAGCTTGTCGCGGCCGGCTGCAATTCGAACTTTGAAACCTGCAAACCCGCCGACCTGGGGCGCCCGCGGGCGGCTACGCGCCATAATATGCTGTTTCATCAGGTCGATCCATCTTCTTCATTGCCAGATCATTCTACTTATCCCTAACGAAGAAATGAGTTTGTTCACATTGTAAGAACATGGGCCTTTCCTGCTCCTGCCCCGCTTATGCTGCAGCGCAATTGCTGACGGCGTTGCTCCGGAGGACGTGCATAAGGGCGAGAATCATGGTTCTTGCCAAGGCGCTGGAGCGCCGAAAGAAGAGAGAGCTGTAGCCGTGGATCTGAAGCCCGCTCCCAGCTCCGTCGTCATTTCTTGGGTCTTTGATGACGTCTTCAGGAGCAAGTGGGGACTGAGCAGAGAGGAGAAAGAAATGCGCGAAGTTCAGTTGGAGGCACATGCTGAGCGGCTGGGGAGTTGCTGGGAAATGCATGGTGACGATTTCACCAAGGCTTTTGCGGAGAAACTCATGGCACGTGTAGAATCCATATTCTGCACAGACAGCCAGCTGAGGGAGGTTTATCCATTCCTTGTGGGGCTGTTTGGTGCTTGCACAGGCGGACTAAGCTTACACGTCACAAGGGGTTCGCAGGAGCTTTGGCCTTTTGTTTTGGAGGAGTTCCGCCGGAAGCACGAGCGGTTGGCTCGAGGAGTGGAATGGGCGGCACCTGAAACAACGAACTGGCGGCATCAAATCCTCTGCGTCCTCCATCATCTGAATCACTACTCAATACTTTTTAGCAAAGAGGAGGGTTCTACCGAAGCGCCAAGCGATCTAAGAAGAGCAATCGGAAAAGTCAGATCAGAGCTGTTGATTGACCAGAACAAAGCAGAACAAGAGCAAGCGGACAAGAAGGCAAAAGAGGAAAGGGAAGCCAGAGAAGCGAAACTCAAGGCCAAACGACAGCAGTTCAAGGATTCCTTGAAAAGAGCGCCTTGGGACAAGGAAGTAGCTGTAACAGGCCAGGAGAAGCCGTAAAGAAGACCAACTTGAAGAGAGTAGGGTAGGGAGTATGCTGTACACAGGAACAGCTAGAGATTGCTCATGACGAGCTGGCGCTTGAGGTCCTATCAGACCGGTCATCTTATTTTCCAATTGTGTCGAGCAGACGTATACAGCGCAGAATTTCCGTCAGCTTTGGACGGATTGAGATTGAATCATCGCAGCCGGCAATGGTGACGTACATGATGGGCATGCCGTAAAATTTTATGCCTCGCGGCTGTCCATGATGCACGCGTTGGACGTTGTAACCAGGTGCCAAATCGCTTTAATTTCACGGGTGCCCCTGCAACCCGGAACCGCATTGATTTTTACGTGCCACGTGCACAACGGATTCCTTGAGTTGCACACTTTCAGATCTTACGTTTCATATGCCAGTGCTAAACCGACCTTGGACGATGGATATTTATAAAAGGAATTGTATACTTTGATACTTATCCCCTAGAATAAGACCGCAAAGCTAAAAGCACGCACGGCTTTTGGCATATTGCTGCCTGAGTGGGCATCCGCAGACTGATGTGAAAACGTTCATTGCTGTCAAGGGTAGGCAGGAGGTGGGAGAAGTTATTTGTCTAGATCTCAACGCATCGCAGAAAGTAGCGGCCAGCCTAGCCTGAACCTTTCTTCTCTTAAAGCGGTCGTTGCTAGAAGGGATGGATAGGCGTTACTAAAAGAATCTTCGCGCACCCTTAAAAAAGTGCTCCAACTAATCCAAGAGAGTCCGCGAATCTTTTCAAATGTACAGAGGAACGTGTGCTTCAGACACTTTGTAGATCTGAGAATTAGCCTATAGGTTTCGAAATCTTACACGGGTTCTGAAACGAGCAGTCTGAGATTTCTGATTGACCCCTTAGCAATCTGAAATCGCTGATTGACCCTTGTAATTGCAGACTTGCTCCGTATGTGTACCAACTCCAAGCCCTATGACGTCGAACCCCAATAGACGCGAATACCAGACTTCGGATCGATATTCAAAAAGAAAGCTCATGCGTCCACTTTTTGCCTGGTTGTCGATCCTGCTACCTGCATGTGAACGCTTGTGCATTGACCGTTTCCAGTGCTGAGTGCACTCCTTCCGACTTTGAATCAGATGCAAAACAGCTAAACGTGGGGTGCCCTTGCAGATTTTAGTGAATTGTATTGATGAATCTCGACCCCTTCGGCTTTTCCGAACGTACGTGGGTGAAAAGCTCTTTTTCGACTTTGACTTTCCGTCTTCGGGTCGATCCCCTTGGGGTCGAGAAACGGTTCACAGTTCTGCACGTCCAAAATTCGACGAGGCTAAAAATTCACAAGCAATTGAGCACATCTGCATGGAATGAACGGCTCAAAGAAAGGTTCCTTCGAGAACGAAGAGACAGATGTCCTGTCTGGTCCTGTCGGCACTCGCGCGGCCCGTTCGCGCTTGCGCAAACTGCGCGCGCACTTGCCGCCGCCGGCACAGCTGGGCAACCCGCGTCGGCCTGCTTGAGCTTGCCGCGCGCGGGGCCGCGGCCGTTGATCCTGCACTTTGAAACCTGCAAACCCGCCGTTTTGGGACGCCGCGGGCGGCTACGCGCCATTGTATGCTGTTTCATCAGGTCGATCGGTCCATCTTCATCTTCAGAATTTTCAAGTTTCTATCCTCAACAAGCCGGAAGGGCGTGAGTTTGTTCACTTTCTACAAACATGGGCCTTTCCTGCTCTTCCTTGGGCGCTGGCGCGAAAAGTGACGTCATATCTCCAGAGGACCTGCATAAGAAGAACGTCCCTATTTCTTGCCAAGGCGCTAGTGCAGAGCCGAAAGCAGAGAAAACTGCAGCCGTGGATTTGAAGCCCACCCCCTCCGTCGTCATCTCTTGGGTCCTTGATGACGTTTTTAGAAACACGTGGGAACTGAGCAGAGAGGAGGGAGAAATGCGTGAAGTTCAACTGGAGGCTCATGCAAATCGGCTGTGGAGTTGCTGGGAGATGCACGGCGACGAATTTGCTATGGCTTTTGCCGAGGAACTCATGGCACGTGTAGAATTCATAATGTGCTCAGACAGTCAGCTTAGAGAGGTCGCTCCTTTTCTTGTGGGGCTGTTTGGTGCCTGCACAAGCGGCCCAAGCCTCCACATCACAAGGGGTTCGCAGGAGCTTTGGCCTTTTGTTCTGGAGGAGATCCGTCGGAAAAACGAGCGGTTGGCCCATGGAGCGGAATGGGCGGCACCTGAAACAACGGACTGGCGGTACAAAATATCTAACTTTCTCTTTTATCTGAAGTACCACTTGATGCAATTTAGCGAAGGCGAACAGTCTACTGAAGCGTCAAGCGATCTGAGGAAAGCAATCGACAAGGTCACATCAGAGCTTAGGATGGAGCAGAAGAAAGCACAACAAGAGCAAGCGGACAGGAAAGCTGAAGCGAAAAGACTAGCTAAAGAAGCGGAGCTCAAGGCCAAAAGAGAGCAGTTCAAGGCCAAAAGACAGAGATTCAAAGATTGCTTGAAAAGAGCGCCTTGGGACAAGGAAGAAGTGGCGGGCGAGGAGAAGGCGTGAGGAAGATTTGCATACCCAAAGAGAGGAGAGTAGCAGAATGCCATACGTAGGAAAGCTAGATTCTTCTGACGGCTTGTGGTCTTGCTAGCTAGAGTACCACTAGAAAGTATATTCTGCAATCATATAGTTATACGAAGCATGGCACAGTACGTACGGCGCAGATTTTTCCGTTCCAATTTGGTGGACAAAAAGTTGCACATCGATAAAGTTTGGTGCATGATGACGCCACTAGTGGGCATGAACTTGTCAGAGATCAGGCGATCAGGGCGGCACCCAACGTCTGATTGTCTCATAAGAATAGTGCCGACGTCGAAACCCCAAGCCTCATGGTCATGGCCATGATGACTTGCAATCTCCACCTGCGTTTAAATCTTTCTCGCGTTGTGCAGACTGGGATTTTGAGTCAACTTCAAGAATGCTTGCAATGTGGCCGAACAAAAATATCTCGAGAAATAAATTGTGTAATTGAGTGGAAATTAGTAATGCGCGAAAGTGAAAGCGTGCACGGCCGTCAGCCTGTCTCACCAGCCGTCGGGGTTACTTTCGCATGGGCGGCTTGATAATACAAGGCTTCCTGTCATTTGATGTGCCAGGGGGACGGAGACGTGAACGCGGCAATGACATGTGGAGGCATCCTTGCCTGAGATTTCAGATTCGCATTGGTCTACCATGCAAAAAACGATTAGTCTGGTCGAACCTGTACCACAGCAATTTACGTCTTCTTTTATAGAAAGGCGTTACATAAGCTTTGACTCTAGACCTCTTCAGACGAATCGAGAAACTGTTTAACCAACTCCACGCCAAGCCAGGTTCTTATCCTCCCCATCCATTTGATTGCTGCATGATGTCACGTTTTGGCGGTTGCAGCTAAGCGTGTCAGAATGCGTCTCTCAAAGCGTGACTCAAATGCGTCTCTCAGAGAGTAGTATCAGATGCCGAATAGCTCAGATCTAGGTGCCGTCACATTCAGATGACATGACATGGATCTGAAAGACTCGTTTGTGCCGGACGAACTATAAAAGAGATGATATCTTTCGCGCGCGGGATCGGTTGAAGGCGTCGAAGGCGGTGGCCCCCTCGGGCTGGAATTGGGCACTCCGGCTTTCACGACATGTTGAAGGAGGTTCAGAAGCCGCAAACGACTCTGGAGCGAGTCTGTCCATATGCTTGGAATAGACGACCCTATTTAAAGGGTTTTTCAGGAGACAAAGATTACTTTTCCTTCTCGATCGAATTGGTTCTACACATATCGCGCATTAAGGCGCGCACGCGCGCGCTCTGTCATGAGTGGGCCCGGGACTCCGCCGACTCGGGCCGCCCGCGGCCGACAAACGCGCCATGCCATCTGGTCGAAATCCGTCGATCTCGTCTCGTATTCGGATCAGTGTGTTCTTGAAGAAGCAAAATCAAACGCGTGATTTGTTTTTGTTTTTGTTCACCTTTCACGGGGTTAACATGGGCCTTTCTTGCTTCTGCTTGGGCGCTAGCGCGGGGTCTGCTGACGGCATAACTTCGGAGGGAAAGGAAGCCGCAGCCATAGCAGATCCAGCGCCCGCTCCCTCTGCCGTCATCTCATGGGTCCTAAGTGACGTCCTCACTAGTCCATTTCCAACCCGGTATCCAGCGGACGGATGCAGTGTGGCTGCTTGGTCAGTATGAGGCCCATGCAGAAAGGCTGAGAAGCTGCTGGAAGATGCACCCGAAGGATTTCCCCAAGTCTTTTGCCAATGAGCTGATGGTGTGTGTACAAGCGGCGCACAATCAGCACTACCGCGGCCTCAGCAACCTCACTCATTTCCTGGTGCGGCTCTTTGCTGCTCGCCCAAGCGACCCAGACTTACACATCACCAGAGGTTCGCACGAGCTTTGGCCTATCGTTTTTGAGGAGCTCCGCCGGAAGCACAAGCAGCTGGCCCGAGGAGCGGAATGGATGGCACCTGAAACGACGAGCTGGCGGGAGAACGCTCTTGAGCCTTTTCTCCGTTATATGGAGTCCGCACTACCTAATCGCTACGAGGAAGTTCCGAGCCGTTTAAGAAACACAGTAGAAAAGCTCACAGCAGAGCTGTCGACTGAGCAGACAAGAGTGAGAGAAGCGCGGTACAAGGCCGAGAGGGAAGCTCAGGACGCGCAATACAAAGCCAAACTGGAGCAGTTCAAGGCTTCTGTGAAAAAAGCGCCGTGGGACAATGGAGCATTGGCAGGCGAGGAGAAAGCATGACGCAAATTAAACTTGAAACCTGGTGTAAGCCTGGAAAGAAGTAAACTGTTTCCATGAACAAACTATCTGTCATGACACTTGTGTCATTTGTGGAGCATATATCGCCATTATTCTTTGAGCATGGTATCGTCAGAGCAGTGTCTGTTCAGCGTCGGTTGAAGGTTGGAAATAGCTGAGATGTGACGATAATCATGGTACGTTGTATAAGTGTTAGCGTGGGTCTTGACGTAAGACATCTCGCTTACCGGTGTCTATGTACGGTATGCCATTAGATTTTTAGTCAAGAGACCATCGTGCATGACTTCAGGTCTTACATTCCGATTGGCTTGTTCATTGCGTAGTGCCATGCGCGCAGATCGGAACCTTTCGTATGTTGAAGATCTTACACATTTGCACAGGTCTGAACGTAGGCGCGTTTCAAGTGTAGTACGTATTCACGCCCGGCGATATCTTATGCAAACATTTGTACATATCAAGTTGATTTTCAATGGAAACAATTCAATGAATGCGCCACTGCTTTCAAACTTTGAATATATATGCGAACCGCGGCGGCCGGGGGGACCGGCTCGGCAGACTGCGGAGCCCTCACGTCAAAAGGCGGGTGCGTATAACCACAGGTCGGGCCTGCCAGATCGGATCAGCCGCCGTACTCACGTTGGCAAGCATCATATCTTGTACCACTGCCAGCCTACTAAGAATGGGCCCGAGGCTTCTCAATCTAGCTCAGCGACAATGACAATCTAAAGGCTTCTTTGCAAGCTTCGAGTTTAAGTCCGGTTTCATTGAAGACACGGCTGATTGTTTATCGCAGTTGCTTGTGATTATCTTCATACAGAGTCCACCGTTTTACATGAAATGGCTCCCTAACACATCGTTCTTTGACAAAAAGCACCCTAACGAAACTTTAGCACCGTTTCACCCGATTCGACTCGTGACCGCCATTTGGCCCTTGTTACACCGCTGGCAGTAAAGCTTAAAACGGCTTCCTATTCAAACTTTGCCTCTAGCTGTAAAGTGTTGCATATAGACATGTAACTTACACTTCGCGCTACACATGGGACACACGTAATCTCACAATGCCGCGATCTGGCACCTATTGACTCTCAAATGACGTTGTCTGACCTATCAATCCACGACTAAGGCGCACTGGACGACGGAAACGCATCTTTTTCTCACGCGGCTGCTTCGATCGGCCTTTTCACGGGTCGTCCGATCGGCCCGGCGGGAGAGGGGCCTCGAAATCCAGACACGATTCGATCGTCAACGCTGCAAAACCGAAACGAAGACTCGATTCAAGGCCGCTGCATGCGCATTACGAAGCGTTCAGAGAAACATGGGCTCCCTTGCAAAGACGTCGCTGTGAAAAAGGGGTTCTTTTCTTTCCTCGTCAACATGTGCAGGAAAAAACAAAACAATTATGCAGTGGCTACCTCTTCGCATATAGCCGGTGATCGAAAGTTCCGTATCAAGTGATCTCAAGAGTCCGCGGAGTCCTGGGAAGCTGATATCTTTGCTGGCTTAGTTAAACATTCTGTGTAGGTCCTATTTTTGGATTGCAACTTCGCTCAGCCTTAGGTGGGCAACTGAAAACGTCGGTGCCAAATTGTCAGTGAGCAGTTCAAAGAACAGAAACCGTTCTTTAAGCGTAAACCGTGATTGTCTCGGAAAAGCACGGTAGCTAGACTTGCTGCGATAAGATGATTGCCGATGAGCGGAAGCCCACGCTAGACCACATTTCAGACTAGGACTGCCTACTACTTGTTTCATGAGCACGAGCTCCATAAAATCGTAGAGGAAGTTCAATGGCAACGAAAGGAGTAGACTTTGAAAAGGAAGAAAGGGAACGTACCACCAGTGAAACGGGGCCGGCCCGCGCTGCCTCTCCAAACAGAACACGCAGAACTTGCACGTCTTCCGAAACCCCGCAAACCCCTCCCTCCGACCGGTCGCGGCCGCGAAGTCCTTCAAAACCCCCTGCAGCCCTGCCATCTCGAGCGGCGTCAGCTCCCGCCTCTGACGAGCGTCGGCCAACGCGGGGCCGCCGACTGCCACGTGTCCTGGGGCCCTGCCTGCCACGTGTCTCTCCGGGTGCTGTACTCGCCTGGGCGCGAGCGCCTCCGCGGCCGCGTTGACTGCTGACGCAAACATGGACGCTGAGACGATCTGGGGGGGCTTCGGTGGGGGGCTTCGTGGGGGCAGATGCGGACTGCGCGCGCCGTCGAAATGAGCTTGCTTTGCCACGTGGCTCGCTGAGATTGGTCGTGCTTCCGGTGCTGGATGTGCTGGCGAACCGAGCGGCTGTCCCTGGAACTTCGAGGGGTGCGGACGGGCTTCGACGGAGTGGTTTGAGGGGTGGGGAAAGGCGTCCCTTGACTGAACTGACTGCCTTGGTGCTCGCGGATGCTGACGTCCCCAAGACGAGAACGTGACCTCATCAGCAGCTCGTTGTTCCGGCATCCGGACCTGCCTCGACTGAGTGCGTGGGTCGCTTTGCTCTTGAGGGGAAGGTGAAATTCCGTGCACTGCTCTATTGTGGATGGAAGAATGAACTGGGAAATAGCTGGTTGTGGGGGTGTCTGCTTTGGCTGCGGAAGTTGAAGCAACGGGGGGAGATGGCCTCTGAAGAATGGTCACTGGCTTGCTTGTGCTGCCGGATGGTTCAGAATCTTCAGGGCTTCGAGAAACCTTTGCAGGAGTAGCTGGGGTACTGCGCTCAGTAACGAAATCGGTCACCCTTTCCAGGAGCACTGGCCTCGGCATATGCGCTGTTCCGTTGCTCGAAGATGTCTCCTGGGGTACTGTTCCGCCGCTGACTTCCGCTGGCGGACTCTGTCGTGGCTCAGGAGCATCCTGGTCGGGGGACTGCGGAGAGGGCGGACGGAAAGCCGGAAAAGCAGGCAATGTCGAGACCGGGGACAGAGGCTCCTTCGACTCGAGTTTCGCAGGCCGCTGATCCGTTTCATCGGACGGCTCCTGAGCCGGGTCCTCGCTCCTGACGTCGTCTTCGTCGTCCACGTCAGCAGCACGTCTGCGGCCGGCGCCCTTGCGGTCCTTCTTGGGGCGCTTGAGCGAGATGACGAAGTGCGCGTCGGTCTCCTTGGCGTGGATCCGCAGGACGATGCCGAAGTTGGTGGCCTCGCTGATGTTGAGCTTCTGGCGCCGCTCCTCGCCGCCCACGCTGCGCTTGTACGCCAGCACGGCCGACAGCTGAGCCGCGGGAACGCCTGCGAAATTGAGTGAAATGATTTGGGGAACTTGGTGACGTCATCGTCGCGAGAACGGCAAAAAAGCTGTGCCATCCACGGCAAAGTCTGCGGAATATGCAGGCGACGCTACCGGCCGCCCATGCTGCGCTTGTACGCGAGCACGGCGGACAGCTGGGCCGCGGGAACGCCTGCGGAAGGAAAGGGCTCATCAGGGCACTAGGTGACGTCACAGAGAGGTGGAAATCGTATGCAACAGCGACGTCTGCGGAATGTGAGCTTCTGTGCTATTCGTCGCTGGAAACGTGGGACGCCTGCCACAATGATGTATTCTGTCAGGTGTTTTCATACAGCGGTGACCCGCAAGACCAGCGCAAAGTGCGGTGACGATTTATGTGCGCCACAGGCAAGAAATGCAAGATACCGTGCGCCAAGAGTGCAAACGTTCTTGTTCGTTGAATGATGTGACCGTCCGACAGATCCGGAGTTCCGAAAAGGCAAAAAGAGTGAAGGCCAGGTAAAAACTGTTCAATGTGTAACCCTGATTGATCAGAAACGGAGTAAAATCGCAACGATCTCCCTTTGAATATTTCAGGCCGTTTGCGGGGCCCAATTGAGACCATCCAACGAATTGTCTTCGACAAGTGAACCTGACAATGCCACCCAGCTGACAACACTGTGAGAAGGAAGGGCCTCTGTGAATGTTTGATCAGCGAATTGGAACCCCCGAAAAGCTCTAACTCAGTGCAAGGAGTACAGATATTGAGCAAAAGCGGGACAGATAATATTATGCGTCGTACGTGTAGGCAGTTGGAGACTGGAAAAAACAGAAGGGAATTTGTGCCCTTACACATGTCATATTTGAGACGTGGCCAAAAATTCCCTATGAGGCGAATGCCAAAGAGACAATTGTCAAAGCATCCTCAGTCGAGAAAGAAAAAAAATATATGGGAAAAGGATGTTGTACCAAACTGCAGCAACCATTCTCGTGAACCTCAATTGCACAGAAACAAGAAGCTGGCTGATCATCACCACAAGGCGCAAGCCTCACCTGTTTTCTGTGTCATCAGTTGCTGAAACCGCTTGAAAGTGAGTGCCGAGTATATACCCAGTTGACCCCTGACGTGCTCTTGCTCTCCATCCGAGTAGATGCTGCACCAACAGATGTGAAGTATGTTTGTTTCTGGATCAATCGATATTACTTATATGGATCTGGCTAGTAGCAATTGTAGAAAGACAGGGTCAAACATGTTGGCTATCATTTTGTCCTTCATATATCGTCTCCATGAGCTGGCTGGAAGATACATTCAGCAGTCTTACGTTTTCAAAAGAGCTGAAAAGAAGCTGAACAATCCAAACACTTCATAGAAGAGCTGCAAGGAGCTAGACAAGAAACTTGCAGAAGGATGGCAACAGAGAGCAACTTCCTGAAAGCTCAAGGTGATGTGAAAAGATGAAGATGGAGCGCCTAGCTCACCATGGCAGAGGGGTAGCAAACCGCTCCATTGGAGTGATGGACAGTTCTCCTCTCTGTAATGAGACAAGTTTAAGACTATCAGCGGCCGGGTGTATCTCGACCAGCTTCAATTATGACCAGGCCCCACCTTTCATGAAAGTTGGTTTCAGATTCAGTATGAGCCAACCTCTTTCATTAGACAAGCATATTTCAACCAGAGACTGGCACCATTTGCAACCTCTTGTACAGGTCTTCTCTTTAAGGTGTTACACCACAATTGTGCGCTCTTAAAAAATGATCTGTTTCACTAATAGACAGCTCATGGAAGATTGCAAGACGCAAGAGAACCTCCGCTCATGAGGAAGGAGAAGACCAGTACGATCAAAGCTGATCAGTAAGCAACCCGTGTCCCTGCCAAGCATTCCTCTACAGTCTGGCAGAAAGCACCTTAAGGAAATTTTCCAAAAATGAATCAATTCAACAGATCATCTGGTCAGAGAACAAAGCTTGCTGAATTCTACCCATTGATGCATTTCCTTGCCTTGATGGCCCTCAAGGGTTTTCTGGATGATGGATTTTTTCAACAAGCAGTGAGTCTTTGCCTTGATGGCCCTCACGATTTTCATGGATGATAGATCATCCAACAAGCAGTGACGATCGGTTCTTCAGGCTAGTCAGTCAGCCGCACATGAGCACTTGGCCAATGACAAGACCAGTAGGTTAACCAGCCCAGCAAAACAGATTTCCTCTTAGCAATCAGATCAAAAAGTAGTGGTCCTTTGATCAATGCTGAGCTGAAATCAATTGTTGAAGCATGAGGCAGGTGCACTGAAACGTGTCTGTAGTTTGTCAGCTGTACCATTAGGACTTACTACCACCTTCATAGTTTATTGACATTGTCACAGCTTGATCTAAGATAATCCCTTCACCCTTCTCTTTAGTACAAGGAAACATCCATCGAAAGGTTTTCCAGCGGCAAATTGTTTGAAGAGCACAACCGCCACTTGATCACCGCAATGCTGATTGAAGCAATGCTCAATGGGGGCAACCCAATGATGATCAGTAGTGTGGATGCGACAAAAGTAAGACTCGCCTTTTAGCCTCAGATCTTCGTTCTCCTAGTGGTAGTTGTGAGGATGGCGGGCTGTCATGCACTTGCTTGCTTGGGGTCAGGCGCGTGTGCTTTTCAAACCAATCCGAGCAGCTTCATGCGCACTCAGGGCTGCGCCAGCTCAGGTTAGCGCCCAGGAGAGCATCTCTTCTGGTGCCGGCTACGTTTTAAGCTCCCGCTTCAACTTTCAAGGCTGAGCTGCTCAAATTTGCGAAGTACAGAAGAGGCATCTGCTCAGCGGCCGCCATTGCGGAAGCAGGACGTCCGTCCTTCTCGAAGCTCAGCTTGGTGTCGGAACCACCCTGCTGACATCAGCCAGATCTACGGATGTGCACCGTCCGATGAGATTGTATACCTGATTCGACGGTTGTCGCTGGTTCGGCACCACAACATTCACCGGACGTTTTACGCTTCAAGTTTCAAATGTGCTGGGCACGGAGCGCCGGTCTAGTTGCCCTCTTGTTTTGGACTCATCCAGCTGATGTGGCACCCCGAGTCGCCCACGCAGTCGTGCGTCAAGCACCACCTCATCGGCGCGCTGATTCCAGAGTAGCTGATGGGGTCCTTGACATCTTCGATTCAGCGTCGCGACACACACAGTCCTTTCCAGCTCAATCGTTTCAGGCTCAGGCTAATTGACGAGACTGGTTTTGGAGTAAGCTTGGTTGATCACAAGCTTACAAGAGGTGTTCAAAAGCTTTACAAAGGGGGCGCAGGCGGTTGATCAAGAAGCTCGCCAGCGGCGACAACAAGAAGCCCACCACCAGACACAGCATGCATGCCTGCCGACTACGCCTGAGTTCCTGGAAAGTGATAGCTATGGCGCTTCACGATCAGCAGACGCATAGAGCCCATCGTCGGAGCAAAAGCATGCACTCAGCCCCGCCCGACTGACGCTCAGCTGGGTGCTAAAAACAATGCCACGTCAGCATCATGGCGGATGTGGCGGACTCTGATTAACAGCTGGATGCGCCGCAGCTCAATAGGACTGCAGCCATTTTCGGATTTCTACACAGGGCGCGATTGCAGGCATGTGCATTCCTGAATTTCAGGTGCTTCTGCTCGTAGTCCTCGTAATCATACTGCTCGTCCCCATCTTGCTCCTCCTCTTCTTCGTCCTCTCTCCCATTCTCCTCCTCGTAATCTTCGTTCTGCTGCCGCTGGTCTACTTGCTCCGGCAGGCGATCCTACTGGCGCGCACACCGACGGTCCAGAAACAGTCCCTCGCTCTAGTTCTGGTTGTTTCGTCTCTGCTAGCGGTGATGTCGCTGCTTAAGGAGTACCATCTGGCAGTGAGCAAGATGCACTCGAAGACGTGCGGCTTCAATGTCAGCTCGTCAAACTCTTCGTGCCAATGGTTGATAGCTAGTGACTCCAGGGGGTTTCTAAAGTAAAACAAGTTCAGCCATCTTAGATGTGACGAACAAGCTGTCCAGCCGCCAATTCAGGACCCTCAAAAAACATTTCTAGCCCACGGAATAGATACCCAGATAGCTGTCAGAAAGGTCTGGGCTCCAGGTAGGAAAGCCCGGTCTTGAACTGTTCCGGTCAAATCGATCATTCCGCAGAAACTCTAGGGGTGCACGAAAGCGGCGGCACCTCGCTTCAAAGGGCTTCAATCCCCTTTTTGATGTGCTTTTGATGGCGTCTAGTGGGCCTCCGATATGAGTGCAGTTTTTTAGCCAAGGGAATATAAAGGCTTAGTTACAAAGCTACTTCTGTGGAGCTCTTGAAAAGCCCACACGGCCATGTTGTTTTTGTTTCGTCCAAATTAACGCTTTAGTAAGATCATTGCCAATCGCAAATTCTTGAGGGTCGTGGACCACAATCTCTTTAGGACCCATGCACATACAAGGATTAGTAGGACGTTGCAGACCGCGCGGCCGAGCTTGCATCAAACTTGAAAACCACGTGATCAACCGAAGCTACTAGGCCGGCCGTACAGGCTTCAAACGCTATGCAATGATATACGCTGTCAATGACCTTGTCCTGTTTTGGTAAATACAATTATCGTGCAGCTAGCAGGAGAGCGCTTGCCCTGCAGCATGTTTGTAACTTCGAAAAGCTAATCGCTACAGAAGTGACGTCGCGATTGCATCTCCTGCAATGATGATATGTAGATCGATGATCGACTTGACCGATTGAAGTGACATGACATGTTGGCGCCGCCAGCTTTAACTCATGCATTCCGCTTAAAATTGCCAAAGTTGACTTCTGCATATGCATATGATACTCATTGGCTTTGCTACGTGGCAACGAGAACAGCATGTCAAAATTGGGATTATGCCCGGCCCTTCTTGGACAAATCGCATGCACTCTCAAAGAATTGAGTATGATTGAGTGCTAAGATCATTACATACTTGAGTCCCATGTACGAATTGACAAGGATTCGACGGCTAGCTTCGTGCAGGAGAAAAGTGCTCTGTGACGCTTACTGCGGTGATCCTCATGCGATTGGCCTTGATCAGGCCTGTTCATTACCGATCGGGTTCGGCTTCACAACTTTGAAACTACGTCGAACAGGACATTTCCAGCTAGGCACGGGTATACTAAGTCGACCGGCCACTCCGGCTCTTGATTAACCGTTTTCATTAGAGATGATTAGTAGCATCGTCAATCAGTGCGCGCGTGGCGTTATATTTACAACACTCGACGGGGTTCTAGGGGTTACAGGAGTTGAAAGGCCTTTTGGAGTTATAGGTGTGGACACGGCCCCGCCAGTTCCGTCAGGTGACGAAGGACGCCCTGCGTATTTGGTGTGCTTACGTCAGCAGTCTGCTCGGCGATCGTACCAAAAGAATCGCAGATACATCCACTTCCTTTACACCGCAGGTCGTTGAAAGGGCTTTGCAGGGGTTAGCAAGTACGCACTGGTCAGCAGACGTCGCGGAGAACCGAGACCAAAGGAAGGGAGAATCTGAGGGCGAGGTCATCCATCGGTTTGTGGGCGGCTAGAATTTGGTTTCTGAACAGGATGATGGGCTGGCGCTAAGAGTTTCTCACTCACGAGAATGAGCAAAGTGCTTTGACCCAAACCCACCCTCTGGAACACAGGGTTAATGATGACCAGATTACTGCGTGGTCCAAAGTGCCGTGCCAAAAAGCCCCCAAATTGGGTTAAGTCTCGTAACCTTACCAGAAGCCGTTTGGAGGGCCATCTCGGACGGCCCGTGCGTCGCGAGGAACGTGAGACTCCGCTGGCTAACACGCGCCAGGTGCACCACCGTCTCGACCACCGCCGCAGCGTCCTGCAGCGTCCGAACGGCAGGAGGTTAAGGAAACCGGCGTCCGAAAGGCAGGACATTGAGTACAAGGTGTCCGAAAGTCGATAGGAAGCTCTAAGAAAGCGTCCGTTTGGCAGGAGGTATAGCAACCAGCGTCTGAACGAGATGTGGTACAGCAAACGGCATCGAATCGGCAGGCGATCAGGTAACGGCGTCCAAACCATGCACGAGATTCGGACAACGGCGTCCAAAAGGCATAAGAAACAGACGACGGCGTCGAAGAGGCAGGCGGTTCAGCAAACGGGGTTGCAGTTTGCGAGAATTTGGAGACGAGGTGTCGAGACAGCGCTCGGCAAGGAACAGGCGTCCGAAAAGGCGTGCGTACGGAAGAACGTCAAAAAGTTCGTACGACAAGGCGTCCAAATAAGGGGATTGCCGAGAAGAGTCCAGAAAAAGCGTGCGGTCAGGACGGCTGTCAGAACAAGGGCTCCCGAGAGGAACACCGGATGGCAAGGACCTTCATAGAGCTAATCGCAAGAATCGATGGACGGCAGGAACTTTAGAAAAGTCGCGGAATCGGCGCAATCTTAAAACGATGCCGTGCGAGCCCAATCTTGGGACGCCCGACGGAAAAATTGCTTCTGGCTCGCCAGCTATCTGCCGGGTCCGTGTGCCCGACTCGTGGTTTACAAATCCAACGACACTGAAATTTTGAGCCAAAGTCTGCACGACTCAATAACAGCACAACACAGCTTTCTGCGTGGAAGTTGCGTCCTTGAAAGCTGCGAGAATCGCCGATTGCGAGATTTTGGCCGTCCGATCGGCCAGCTTCTGTTGAACGGACGGTCCAGAATCATGCAAAGAAGGTTCCCAGCTGGAGATGAGGGTGGCAAGTGTCACGCAAACAGCTGTACAGGTTAATTCAACGAATCTTGCGTCAACTAAGAAGGTGCGTTCACTAAGATAAGCACCCTCAGGACGGGTGGGGTTAATCTGGGGGTTAGGGTGGGTGCGGGTGAGAAGCGCGTAATGGTTTTAGGTTAGGGTCATGATTGAGGTGCCCGGTGCTCCTGTATCTTAGTGACAGCAAGAGTTGCCAGTATGTACAGGTGTCCAAGGACCAAGACGTGGGTTTACGTTTGGCACGCTCACCCTCGCTTTCGGCCCCCCCGACCCCCTCCGGTTGCCGAGCGCCCCTGCAACCCCCTGCCGCGCGAGCCCCCGGGTCAGGTCGGCCAGGTTCCACCGCCACGTCAGCCCGAGGCAGTGCACCAATGATAAGCCGCCAAGTGTCACGCTGTCGCCCAATCCGGACCAGCGGGGCTGAGGGGGGCCGTTCCGTACGGGCAGGCAGAGAGCCTGCAACAGAATTGCACGATATTGGGGTTTCTGGAAAAGTCTTCTCGTGAGTTGTACAGAAAGGCTGGCAAACCAAATCTAGGTTACCCATCTGAAACTCCGAATCTGAACCCCTGTATAAGCAGAGGTTAGCGATTCCTTAAAAGTATCTCTGCAAAACCCATATATGAAAACGAGGCCAGAAGGAACACCTGTCGTTCGAAACGGATCCGCGGCGAGAACCCTTAAAAGAAGTAACCTGCCCAAAAGCCGGAAATGCCCATTGAAGCGGATGTTTTACTTGCTAGCAGAAGCTTTCGACACTCGAGATCTGTGGTCCGAAGCATGGAAGGATGCAGAAAGGGCCGTTCCTCTTGCTTGGCTTTCAATTTGAATGATGCGCCGACTTTGTCCGTCTGTCGACCAGCCTTGCAAGCGCCGGGCGCCCAGAACAGATCAAGGCATCTCTTGAGCTTCTCTTTCCCGACCAGAGAGGACGTATCACTTCGGTGCTGACACTAATATCAGATCAAGGAACACCGCAAAGGTCCCCCAGTCAGATCCAATGTGCAAAACAGCACAGAGTGCTCGTTTGAAGAAGAGAGAAAGACAATGGACAGGAGTAAGAGCAAGCTCACCAGGTGAAGCGCCGCATACAGGTGCGCGAAGTCAGCGCGGCCGCTGCCCAGCGGGGGCGCCCAGTCGGTTTGAAACGGCTCTAGGAGGCCCCGCAGCTGAACCAGAAAGTGGGCCACCAGACTGCCCGCTGATACACAGCTCCAGTACACCGTTTCTGCACACCACGAGCAAGACGCGACTTCAGACTTTCAGGGTTTGAAGTAACCATTTGGGAACGTAAAAGTCCAAGCTTGTGGCGTACAGAAGATGTGCTTGGAGATTGAATGAGTCGGGCAGCGGTTTTCGATGCTACTGTGGCAGAGATTTAAACGGCGCAGAGTGTTGCATGTGAGAGGCTTGCTATGATTGTGGCAGCGTGCAGTCTGAATGAAAGCCTTGTGAAGAATGGCGCAGCTTGCGATTGGCATCTTCTACTATCCAGGTGGCCGTTTAGGACCCCTTTTCACACCAACAAGTAGATACGTGCAATCATATGGTTGCAACTTAGAGAACATCACGTCAAACTTACCCGCTATCCGCGAACCCCTGCTGCTTTGTTGCGCAGCCACCGCGCTTTCCGCACTCAGCTGCTCGGTAACGCTCGCGAGTGCCCGGTCGATGAGCCCAGTGATCGGCGCCCCGGCGGACTCGTCCCGCCCCACTAGTTGCTGCAGCTGGCCCTCCCGCCCCGGGACGACTCCAATGAAGGGCGCCGTGCATAACACTTGCCGCGTCTCCTTGGTTTGCTGACACAAGATGAAGGTTGGGTCAGACTTAGCCTAGCAGAAGTGCGCTCGTTAACCTATCGAGATCAAGTTTGAATCAAACACAAATTGATGTTCAAAATAAGCAATAGGCTGAATGAGAACGAGTGACAAGCACTGTAATTGAACGCGAAAGTTCGACAAGACAAAGTTCTAGGCGAAAGCAGATGAGGTTTTCGATCACTTGACCATCTACCACGCCTCCACTGAATCGAATCCCACTTGTGTCAGCAGTCGTCACACACCTACTTTCGGACGTGCACTCAAAAAACCGCCGCAAGCTCCAGCAAGGAATAAAGAGCTCGCGATAGGCACCCGCAATACTATTACTCACAGTGGGCGGTATGGTTCGGTCTTACCACTGCTTCGTCCAACAGCGATACGAACGCCAAAAGATTCCCAATCTCTTTCAACACTTGCAAAGCGCCCTCCAAGTTGGGATGCACCAGCAGCGGCGCCAGCCAGGCTTCCGGGCCAGAAAGGATCTCAATTGACATTCCGGTTTTTCTGGGCGGACGGAACGGAACCGGAATGTGGGAGAAAAGGGGCCGGGCGTGGCTCGGTAAGGCGACGGTCACCTGGAAGAGAAAGACGCCGTATGTTTTCGAGATTGCATTAAACAATGAAACGGATGTGGAAACTTAAACACCGAGAATCAATGCTTCGGTCCAACACGAAATGCGGAACAGTGCGAGATTGTGCCGTCTGGTCTGCACCGCTTTTTCAGGTTGAATTGAAGATGATGCTGATGGGATGGACAAAGAAAGACCTAAAATCTGCGTTGATGCGAACAGGGCCCTTTGAATCCCTGCGGACTCCAAACATATGTGCTACGAAGTAGCCCTTTGGATCTCGAACTCGGCGCATTTTACCGTTTTCACCTCTGATGAATAGCCCGAGTGGGCATTTGCTTGCTCGAAAATCACGCTGCAAAGCTGGCCTCAAACTTACCAAGTGGTCCAGATGCGCGCTCGCTTGATGCACCAGCCACGGCAGGCCCTGCTTTCCGAGCGCCTCCACAACAGCGTCGATGTGAGCGCCCCCCACAAATTGCGCCGAAAGATCCGCTAGCTGGGCCGCGGCGGCGTTTTCGACTGGGCCCCCCGCTAGAAAGTGGGGCTGCGCGTGCGGCATGGGCGGCCGGAGCGTTCGGATGTGGCCCGGGGAGGAGACGAAGCGCTGAGTGGCGGAGTTGAAGAGGAAGGAAGGGAGGAGGTCGGTTTGGAGGTCGGACCACACCTGAACAAAAAGGTTTACTGAGTGAGAATTCATCTTAAGAAAGTGTTGAGAGACCGTCTGAGAGAACGTAGGAACTAGGTGAATCAAGGATATGGGTTGGGGAAATTGCTGAAGGTAAAGTCAGAAGAGGCCGTCGGATGACACCTGTGGAAAGAACAAGGAGCTTGAGTTCTGGGGTGAGAGGCTATCTTCTCTTTTCCATCAAGCTGCTTGTCAGGAATATGAACGGTTGCAGGAGATCGAAAGTTCCTGCTTCTTGGCCACCCTTGACTGACCATTTACGTGATAGAGACACAGGATTCTGCCAGCGCTTGGGTGCCGTTTCCTTTCTTTTCCGTCCCTATCCTCCGTGTTCTGTTGATTTCCACTCGTCTGCTCCTTTAGTGCCCTTCAAGCACATTGACGGGGTCGTGACAAAGTTTTTCTACAATCGAGCGACGAAAGTAGAACACGGAGTAAGGAACTAGAAAAGGGGGAAGATCAGCAAGTCCGTTGAGGATCCCAAGGACCAATAATGTATTTCCAAAGCGCCCACCTGGGTTCCAATCCTGCTGCTGAATGACGTCATGCTGACGGTCTCGTTCCCCTCCGCCAGGATCAGCGCAAACTCGTCCAGACACAGCTCCTTGGACAGAAGCGCATGCGCCCGCTCGAGGATTCTCATCAGCGTTGCGTGCTCCAAGAATCTGCAGAGCCCCGTGGCCTCTAGCCGCTCGAGAAGGAACTCGACGTTCTCCCGAAACAGCCGGCTGACGCGCTGGCGCAGGAGTGACGTCACGTCCACGGAACGTCCCAACAACTACGTACAAGGTTAAGCAGATGTCAGACAATTCTGAACGCCATCTCAACTTTCTGTGGGGTCGATCTTTTCTTGGAACAGCCGGCTGAAGCGCTGGCGCAGGAGAGACGGCACGTCCACGGAACGTCCCGACTCCCAACAACTGCGTCGAAGGATGTTTGGGTTCAGAAAAAGTTCCTAGTTGCTGATGTCAAAGGTCTGGAGGTTTCGTTCTCTTGGAAGAGCCGGCTGATGCGCTGCCACAGGGATGACGTCACGTTCACCAAGCGGCCCCGCAGCTGCGGGGAGAGACGACTGAGGTTTAGGCGCCTCCCCAGTTGCTGATGGTGACGACCTTGGGACGTCAACGTCCTCTTAGGATGGTGCGTTGCCATAGAAGTGACGTCATGTCCACCGAGCAACCCAGTGGCTGCGCACTACAGTCTGACGCTTAGCGGCTTCAATATCAACTATATCGTGACTTGCCTATCTCTCGGGATAGCCGGCTGGTGGTCCTCTGTCGCAGAAGTGACGTCATCTCTGATACGCAGACAGGCAAAGCATATAGGAGACACCAGAAAAGACAATCCGAATTTAAATGACGCGGCAGCACCTGCACGTGACTCTGCTTGAACAGCCCGAAGTAGCGCGGCCGAATCGGGGGCCGCTCCGCTTCGTCGTTTCCGGTCTCCTCTACGCTGGTCAGCCGCTCCGCTGCCGCTAGCACGGCCGGATCCAGGATCTGGCGGGCGGCTTCCCGCTTGAACCACCGGAACGCGTGCTCGCCGAACTTGTAAACCGCTTGGTCGAAGCACAGGTCGATCTGCAAAAACGGAGGTGCGGTTCTTGACCGAACTTGTAAATTGCTTGATCAAAGCAAAGGTTGACCTGGAAAAAGCGGAGGGACTGTTCTGAAGTGAACTTGTTAACGGCTTGGTCGGAGCACGGGTCCATTTGGTCAGAAAGAGGACTGTCCTTTAACCTGTTTGTACTAGGGGTGGTCCAAGCATAAGTCAATCTGGAAAGCTGTTCTTGAAGTATGTTCAGAGTATGCATGTTCATTCCAGGGGATCGACGCTTGTACTGTCGATCTGGACCACCAAAAAGGACTTGGAAACACTGAAGGGGCATGCAATAGGTTGAAGTGTGACGGGGACAGCTTGTTTTCCGGGTGCTGCTGGTAGCGAAAGCTTAAGATGTGTTTTTCCCGATTGCTTTTAGCGGCCTTGTTTGACACCACATGGCAGCGACTCGGTATTTCAGCCGTTGAAGGGCTGCAGAACGCGTCGAAAGGGAAAGTAGTGGATGAAACAAACTGTTGCTGGAACTTAGGCGCAAGGTTTCTACTAGAGCTAGGCTCCCTGAATGACCTGGCATGGACGTAGAGGTGGCATTCTTCGAGGGCTGATGCGAATCAACTCTTTCCGACATTCGTTTCTAAGGTTAAAAAGGTTTGGTACCAAATGCCCCAAGATCAAGTTTCGAAAAGACAACCGTCCCACGTTGTCGAACGCTTCTGAGCTTCGCACGGGAGACTTCTATTGTCTCAAGATGCCGAAGCTTAAAGGGAGCAGAGGGCATTTTGAATTCCCTTTGGCCGAGCCCGTACCTCTGCCTCTACTTCGTCGTACAGATGCCGCTGCTTGAACGTGTAGAGCGCTCTATTCGCGGCGTTGTTTAGATATCAAACGGCAATAGCACGTTGTGATGGGTTTGCTGAATGTCCGCACCGTTTAAGTACGGGACAGAAGCTTAAAAAAACCCTTACGGTGCCGACCCCTTACCTCTGCTTCTACTTCGTCGTACAGATGCCGCTGCTTGAACGTGTAGAGCGCGGTGTTGCCAGCGTCGTTATAGATGTCGAACGGCAGCAGCACGTTGTCGACCAGTGACGGGTTGCCGGAGGTGAGGGAGTGGGAGGCGAGGATCCAAGGGAGGGAGCAGTCGATAGGAAACTGCGAAACGAATGCTAGGATTGAGTGTCTGGTCGACGATGATCCATACCCGAGATCTTCAAACATTCTCTTTAAATTATACGTTCGGAAGAGGTCTACCTATCATGCGGGAAACACCCACAATTGAAGTTACTGTTTTACTCGGATGAAAGTTCCTTCCCCATGGTACTTGGGCTTCCTGATTTCCAGGTCGTCAGACGTGGGAGCGAGAGAGGCAGGATCTTGAAAAGCGAGCAGTTGGTTCTGAACTGTGTGAACACGGTCGAGAAGGTTTTGCAGTTCAGAGTCTATGTTTCCGGTCTGTGGAAGAGGCGAAACGGCTTGCTGATCGACTGATGCCAACTTGTTTTGAGAAAAGCGAGCAGTCCAAAGGGAGCTGCGAGAAATGGGTACTGTGAATCGGTCCTTAAAGGTAAGCATATTAAGCTTTTCTTTGCTTGCACTACAATTCCCGCACTAACAATGCAAGGTCTCAGTGACTGGGATCGTTGAACTGCGAATATGGTGATGAGATGGCACCTAGTAAGAAGGAAAACATCTACCAACGAACAAAGCCCTACATTTATGACATTCCATGTGAAACGTTCCCATCCCGCTCCAGGAAAACCAACTCACTCCCATCGCCTGCTGACGTCACCAACTGTCAGCCTGCCTAATGTTCTCAAATCAAGCTGCCACGTGTCCTCACCTGAACAGTTCCTGCTCTTTCTAGGAAGAACTCCCGGTACCACAGCTCGCTGACGTCAGTCAGACGTATCAAATGGGCTTTCACGTCAAGCGCGTGTGGGAGGCGCAGGAAGCGCTTTTGCCACCGCAGCAACTCCTTGGGGGGGTCGTTTGACGGGGCGCTGGAGGAGGGGGTCGTTCCGGCGACGAGCTCTTCCATCAGGAATTGAATGGCGTACATCTGCGCGGGGGTTGGACGTTTCATGAAATGGGCTTTATTTTGAGAGGCCTTATGGCGGTGTTGGCTCTTTCTTCGAGCCCTGCTTGCATCAGGGCGTTTTCCTTCCGCATTCAACCTGGAAGTTCTGGTGATCTAAGATCTGGGCACCCTAGCAACATCGGTTGCGGCTGTCTTTTGTTCGTTCCTTTTGCCTTTTTGTTGTCTTGCAACCAGATATGGTCAAACCATTCGTTCCCTGTCTCTCTGAAACCTCGCACATTAGCATCTTGGAAGACAACTGGTCACCAATATTTTGTCTTTTCCGTCTCCTTCCCTTTCTCCTCTTTGCTCTTTCCAATCAACTCCCAACACGAGATCAAAGACGGCTTACCTGCGCAGCCGACGGCCGTACCCGCCGCACCTCCACCGCGGGCACTTTCACACCGTTGTTCACCAGAGCTCGGCCGTCTGGTGTGAACTCGCCCAGCACGGCCCGCAGCTGCTCCAATAAGAGCGCCACGTCGCCCTTTCTGTTATACGCCCCCATGTGGACCGTTTCTTGGACCAGGTTTTGGATGTCCAGGTAGATGCCGGCGAAGATAAGCGGCGAGAGAAGATTCAGGGACTGTTCAAGGGCACGCCCGACGCCTTTCAGGAAACCGATCACCTGCGGACAAGATTGGAGAATACATCGATCATTGGGTGTACCAGTGCGGGTTCCAATGATGATGTTCGTACAAAACATAGCCGATGTCGAAAGGCGCAAGGATGCAATTCTCCTTACAAAATTTTATGTGTGATGTGGCCAGAAAAAGTCAGTCGGTGTTTGGCTTATTCCCGGAGAAAGGGCTGTTTTAATTCGTAAGGACGAGCAAGCGGGTACCGCTGCAGAGTATGATATGGCTTTTCCTTGAGCAGGTGTTGGTAACGTCAGCCATAGCAGGCTGCCACGTGGTCCTGGGGCTTTCAACTGAACAAAGACCGCCACACCTAAGTGACAACGGAAGCAACAGCGTCTGTTCTCTTCTCCTCATGTTCAGTCCGTTCAGCGGAACTTTTGCTTCAACATAGCCATACACTGTCCGTCTACCGACCAGGATGCTTAGCTTCTTATTCACAACCATGTGTACGACCTCTGAATAACGCCTTCTAAAACGGTGATCAAGACTCTCCCTTCCACAATCACACCTTCCACAAGAGGCGCCTTTGTAAAAGCGCACTGCTGTCCTCACGAAACTCTCACCCTAAGCAGCGCCGTTTTCTCCTCCGGCGCGTAGTTACATTGCACCGCGCGCTCGTAGTCCGTCAGGTCTTTCGCTCGCTTCGGGTCTCGCACTGGGGCCCTGTGGGCGATATGTGCGTACTTCCAGGCACTCTGCTCGCAGACTGCCAGCGCGCAGTCCGTCAGGAAAGCAAGGCCCTCCAGGGTCAGGTTCACGACGGTGGAGCAGAGGGAAGGGGGCGGCGGGGTATCGCCGAGAAGCCGAATCTGCAAGAAGACAATTTTAACGCACTTTAACTAGCCGCGTTGGCAAATGGCTCGTCGGATTCTCTGTCGCGCCGCGCTGGTAGCCGAAGATGTGTGTAGTGACAGATTGCAAATGAAGACTGGCGAACCAAAGAAAGGATCCAATCCAAGCAGTAAAACAAAAGCTGGAAAGATAACAACCAGTATGAGCTTAACGCAAGCTTTGCTTTGCTGCCGCAGTTGTCGGTCCTGGAAAGAACCAGATCTTTCAGTAACACGGCGACCGGGCCATCACAGAGAACCAGCGCGATATTTTGCAAACAGTACCAGCAAACCTTGATCGTTGACGACTATTGAGTAGTCAGTCCGCGCTCACCTGATTGACTGCGGCGCCGAGCCGGCAGCAAAACTCGTCGTGGGCGATCGCGAGATCGCGCGCTTTGTACACGAGCAAATATCGCATTTGCGCTTCCGCTAGGGACTTGTCGTCTTCCGGAGGGCGCACGTCGAAGCGCTTGAAGTCAGCGAGGCGGTCGAAGTAGGGGGATAGCTCCATGACGACAGCGGCGGGCGTGAGGGGGAGGTCCCAAAACGCGGGAACGACCGGCCAACGCTGCAAAGGAAGAATTCAATCTCTTCTTCAATGCCGCTTAGGGAGTGGGTGGTGAGCGGAACAACAAAGCGCTTGCAGGTGGGGAGGCGGTCGAAGTAGGGGGACAGCTCCATGACTGCGGCAGCGGGCGCGAGGAAGAGGTCCCAAAAACGTCGGAACGATCGGCCAACGCTGCAGAAAAAATTGATAGAGACTTCAATATCCAGCGGGAGGAGTTTCTCACATTCTCCAAAATTCTGTCAAAGCCAGCGGTGTAAAGGAAAGACTCCAGGAAAGTCGGCAGGGCGGTCGAAGTAGGGGGAGAGCTCCATGACGACGGCAGCGGGCGCGAGGGGGAGATCCCAAAACGCAGGGACGACCGGCCAGCGCTGCAAATGATTGAAAATTCAGGAATTGGTATTGGAGGCTCTTGCATATTCCATCATAAGCGAGAGGTTTCAAAGGAAAGGCATTAGAGAGTCAGGTAGGCGGTCGAAGTAGGGGGACAGCTCCTTAACAGCAGCTGGCGGAAGGGGGAGGTCCCAGAACGCCGGAATGACCGGCCAACACTGCAGAGAGCGAGGGATTCAAAGTGTTATTTATGCTTAGTCAGTGTTTTGAGGTGCAATGGATTAGAAAAAGCGCTTTCAGGCGTGGTTGAAGTAGGGGGAGAGCTCTACTACGGCGGCAACGGGCATGAGGGGGATGTCGGAGAACGCGGGAACGACTGGCCAACGCTGCAGAGGGGAGAGGTTCTAACCTTTTCATCACAGCTGCTTAGTAAATATTCTGAGGTTTTGAGGAGAAAACTTTGAAGCGCTTGCAGGTGGGGAGGCGGTTGAAGTACGGGGAGAGCTCAGCAGCGGGCGCAAGAGGGGAGGTCCCAGAAGGCCGGAACGGCTGGCCAGCGCTGTAAGGAAGGATGTAAAACACCTTTGACTTCGAAAAATATAGTTGGTGAAAATTTGTCACTTGCGGCGGCCGGAGAGTTGACCGAGACCGCAAGAGTCCATTGAATGCTTACTCTTCAGGAAAGGTCAAAGCTTCTTTGGCACATAGTAACCCAGGAAACAAGAGTCGCTGAGAACTCAAGATATCTGCTCGGACATTTGAGCGGAGGAAGAGACACTTAAGAGCGTGGTCTTTCCGTTCGGAAGGAGCAATGCAACTCTGCCAACAAAAGCAGACTCCACGACCCCCTGAATCAGACAGGATGTAACAATTGAAAGTACCCACCCGAAAGAGTGCTTGGCATCTCGTTGGGTGCAACCGCCTCCCAAGCTTGTCGCCTTGTCTCTCAGTCGGCGTGGCCAAGACTAGAAGCGTGGGGACTGCCCGTAGCAGCACGTGCCTGTCATAGCCTATGAGGTTGCGCGAGCGGCTCGGAGGCGGACGCTCGGCTTCCAGGGTGTCCAGGCAGAAGACGAGGAGGTCCGTCAGAATGTCGTCGTAACTGCAGAGGCAGGCCGTTTGGGATCTTTATTTGACGGACAGATCGATATTCACATACATCGTTGAGCAGGACTCCAGCGGGAACGATAAGAAGCAGCTTTTGGGTCCGTTTGATTGTGCCGGCTGTCTGCACATGACTGTTTTCACAAGCTCTTTTTCTGCCACCTCGATTGTCTTTCAACGATGCAGACCGTTTCAGCCAAAAACGTTTGAGGCATTCCTGTGTCAAAGAGGGAAGAATCGCCATTGAAGCAGTCTCGACCAGGACAAAATGCCATGAGCTTGCGACTCCTCGCCAAAGGAGTTTGACAACGCGCCACGTACTCCAGCAATGCTCGCAACTTTTTGATGAGCGGATTCCGGGACTTTTGTTCACCAAGATTTTGAACCCCTCAATGTAGGGCCCCTGCTATGGCGGAACAAACCCAAACCCATGAATGCAGAAAGGACATGACGCCTCTCATCTAAGGCAGCAAGAGCAGTCTAGGGAACGCCTTACCTAGCTAGCCTTCCCAGCTCGGCCCTCAAGTTTTTGAGAATGCTGAAGCGAGTGGTTAAGAACACCTGCGGGAGGAAGAAGCCGTTGGATAAAGGGTTTGGAAGTTCCTTGTTGAGACTTGCGCGAGAGTATCGTTGTGCGGTCGCAACAAGTCATCGCTATTTTGTTCCAGCAATCGACATTTGGAACCATTACTGGCAGCCCGTTCTGATGCGACTTCCCAAATTAGTCAAGCGGAGGGAAACGAGCAGGCAGGTAATGTATCAGCCGGAGAAAAGCGACAGAGTGGAAACTGTACTAAGGCAAAAACACCTTCTCCTTGGGAAGGACTGTACGGAAACAAGTTGCAGGCCGTCGAACTCCACAGATGCGCAAAGACAGGCTAACGGCAGACTGGAACGACAAAGAGGTAATTTGGTTGAGGAAGTTGGGCAAAACGAAGAGAAAAACGAAGGAGCGCCATCCTTTCAGATTCCGACTGCAATCAAGTATGCGAGAAGGGACTACAAATCTTGAAAGGCGAAGGGACCAAGGTAGCCCTTTGAAGGACAGGCCAAGCCAGCCGCGAAAGAACGACGATACGTGACAGCAGAGAACGGAAAAGAGGGGAAACGATTGGGATGCTCTACCTGTAGCAGGTCGTGGTTGTCCGCCTCGGGGTTGACGGCGTCAGGCGCGTTGGAGACCTGTGCGAATAGGCCCTTGTACCAGGCGAAGTCGGTGGCCAGGCTGGGCTTGGAGTTCTTCACACAGTCCAGTAGGAGAAGCGCGTCCAGCAGGCGCAGCATCAGCCTGGCAGAAATGTGAATACGCTCACGTTTTGTAGCCAATGTACTCTATGAGTCTGTACATGTCTGCTGCCTGACTGACAACATCTAACGGGTTCTGACTTTTCTTGTTCGCGTGTCGAAAAGCCTCCTGTGAAGTCCCCAATTCACATTGGTCGAATTGACGCCACGCGCACCTGCTACCCGCCGAATTGAAGGCTGATTCGTAGGACTGAATTCTTAGATATGTTTGTGTGGACAAGCACACGCTGAGCACACGACTCCACCAAAACTTGAGGCTTCTCTTTAACTTGTGACTTGGTCAAAACTTGACGCTCCTTCATAAGGAACTGAGGAGTCTTTGTCCACTGCAGGTCACTCAGAAAACTCCCGTCGAGGGCTGTAGGTGTCTCGAGTCGGGGCTACAAAGACGCTGCGCAGCTCACCACTTGTGCGCCACAGACGGGCCGTTGATGTGCCGGCCCGGGTGCGAGAAGCGCTGCATGTCAATACATAACTGCACGAAGGGAAAACGAATGCTTAGATCCTTTCGCTTGGAAGTTGGCTCAGTCAATGCAGGCACATCATCGGTCGCTTCGCTTACTTGTCAAGCATAATGCCAACCGGTAGATGGCTTTTGAGAGTCGGTGGAAAGTATTGAGGATCCCGAGAAAAATCACCTTACGGCTCTGAAAGAGCGTCAAATTCAAAGCAGAATTATTGCCAGACACGGGGGGCCATAGTAGCAGCCGAAACTTGAGCAAGCCCCTGAACATTCTACTTTAACTGGATACTTTCTTCTAGACCCGGTTCAACGCGTAACTTCCCACTAGCTACAGCTAACACTTGCATGCCACGTGCGCGGTCGATCTCTGACACGAGATTCTAACAAATACAACGAGGGTTTGATGGGCGAAACTAGTGGCTTACTTGGCGCGCGGCGCTCGCCTGGAACGTATGTACGGTCATGATGCGCTCCACCTCAACTCGGAGGATTGCAAAGGTCGCTTCGTAGAGTTGCGGATCTGGCGGCACCTGTCACCACGCACAGATAGCCATGATTTCCTGGAATTTATGTTTTAGAGGTCCGGGCTGAATTTTGGAGCTTCGAGTCCTCTGCGCGACAAGGAGGGAAAAGGAAGTCAATCAATGAAATATGAATCATCGCTGCATGCGGCTTCAGGAGATGAAGGAGGGGCATGTGTATGTTGGTTGGGCCCTTCGAACTCCAGGAATCGGTGGCATCTTAAAATGGGGATTGAATGATATGCGCAACAACCTGGGATTGGAGAGGACTGAGGACCATATCGATCGCTCCCAAACACTCGGGCGTTTGGGCTCTTCAGCAAGTCCCTTCTCTGAACCTCTGGCATGCTGCACTGTAATTCCTGACTTCTCCAACAGTCAGTACCCAACCTCAAGCAATAAAGCGGCCGGCTAACCTGTGGAACGACCTTCACACAGCTTCGGTAGGTGTACAGTGACGTCAGCAGAGCGTGGCCTTGTGCGACCAGTGCGTCCTGCACAAGCGAACGGCGGAACTTCGACTAGTGGACAGTTTGGAGTTTCAACCAATAAGTGCGAATATCCTTTTGAATTGGACGTCTGACTCACATGAACCCGTCAACAAGCTTGCTGAATGAAGTCGAGAGGCCGGCAATAGCAATCATGACGTTGAAGCGGATAAATGGTGAGATGGAAACACATCGATGCAGCGAGTCGTTTTCTAAACGATGGACGGGAGCCCCTAAGCGGATAGTCGGGTTTGATACGACTGAAACGGGCAACGAGTGAGCGTGCGTCTGACAAGATCTGTTCGATGCGTCGCGAGCTTTCATATCTACTGCAAGATAAATTTCCCAGGCGAAATTGTTCGAAGAACTCAAGCTATTGAAGCATATTGAGCTTGCAAAAGTTGCGCCCCTGTAAGCTTGCAGAAGAGCAACAATGTTTGAACATGTTGCCAGGCAGGAATCATCCGTCAGTGCAAATTTATGAAGACTCAAGGAAAAGAGTTGTGCTACTCACGAGTTGGTTCAAGCCATGAACGTCCTCTGTCAGGGCCAGCTTGAATGCCGGAACATCAGCAAAGCCTGCAAAGAGAGTCCCGTGCTGGTTTCCTACGCCCTTTGACATACCCTGGCAAAATGCTTTTACCACCTACGCGATGATCTTGAGTCGACAATATTAAGCCCTACTAGCCTTTACGGCCCAGCATGTTACTCAATTGCTAGACCAAAGTCGTTTGCAGTAAGTGAAAAGTTGCGTGTATAAATTCCCTGATACTGGTTGACTGCACAGTTGTATTGCATGATTCATATAGAACATCTTGGTGAGGAAAAACAAGAGAAGCGTTGTGCTGAAAATGTAATGTACGCACCGGTGGCGCTGCTGAAGCTGGACTTGTCGACCGTTACTGGATCTGCCAGCCCGTTGGGGCTCGGCTGTTCATCCTGCCAGAAACGACATTGCGCAGTAGGAACAGATTGAGGGCACAGTTGGTGGTTTTATTGTGCTTATAGATTGTTTAAAGCAATCAGCGCCTGTAGTCATTCTGTATGGCTATATGAACAGTTAATCGAAGAGTGGGACTCCCATTCGATTTAAGAAAAGCGGAAGGGGCAGTGATGCGAAAGCAAATGTGCCCACAATTTACACCAGGGGCGTTCTGTCACCAGTTTTTGGATTCACTGCGCGCTTAGCATACTCTGTCAACTTACTTTGCTCAGATTGTCCAGTCAGCTTTCCACCTCCTCACGTGACAATAATACTCTAGTTTAGAGCACTCCCTCATATTGTTTAAGGTTCAGACCCATACTTTCCCCACAAAACAGTGCCTGAACCCAAGCATACCAGAGATGCTGCTGTGAAGGAGTGCCATTATCTGAGCATGCCAGTGCTTCTAATGATAAAAAATCCCACATTGCGTCTGGCTTGAATCTCGCACCAGGGTTTACCACCAGGACTCACAGAAAAGTGCTGAAGAAGAACAGGAGCGGTGTGCTTTTCCAGCCTGCCATGTCCTAGTTTTCAGTACCCCGGGTCCGAGCAATGAGCAGGAGTTTGTCTGAAGTCCATCCATGACAAAAATAAGTTTGATGCAAGTTCCTAGGACCAGCTAGTGGCTGCATTGCATATCAATCTTTACCTCAATTGAGAATGTCGCAAGAGCAGCAACTGCTGCTGCAATCTCGACCCCCTCGGGCGCCATTTGGCAAGGTCACGCCGATGCAATGCTAGCTGCTGAATGTGGCACCAATGTAATTTGGGACCCGTCTGAGCAAGGGACTAACAGTGCATGATGGTGGAAAGTAATACTGTCCGAATAAGCAGTTCAGAGGGCGTCCAAGTGGTTTTTACGACCTGCTGAGGAACTCTTGGAGGGTCTCCCACATCCAAAAGCGCACGCCGCACACGTACAAATGCAAGACAAATGCTCCCTCCAAATGCTGCCTCCCTGCACAGAATGTTCTCGAGCTCCCAGACTTCAAAAAGTATAGATTAGCCTTAGGTTGAAGTTAGGGTTCTTGAGTGCGGGGCACCAATCTCAAAACCCTAACCCTAATCCTGCCCTTTCCAGGTGCTCAGACGCATAAGTTGCAGCTTGCATGTGTGAACTTCTTTCTAAGGAGGGGCGCCTCAAAGCGCCATTAGACAGCTAGCTAGGGACCAGAAGCCCTTCATCATAGCAACCGTGTGGCCCCATGCAACCATGCTTGACCCTCTACAACGAGACGGGTATGGTGTCGCTTGTACAGTGGAGTTTCATGTCGCAAATTTAGACTTCGTATCAACACAACCACGTTCCGCAAGGGTTCAAGGAAGAGCGCTCCATTCATTTAGCACTCTCAGGAGCTGCACCACCCCCATCAGACGTCCAGTCCAGAAAATGAGAGGGCGCATGGGGCTACGTTTGCAAGGATCTCCGTCCAGAGGCATCTTAATATCATGCATACTGCCGCCAAAAGTATCAAAAGGGAAGGCCAATAGAGTCTGCGGGGGTGCTTTGATGCCAGCATTGGATATTGGTATGGGAGCCAGGTCAGGAAAGCGCGCATCGTCAGCTACACCTCAAGCAAAAATGTCAAAAAATGTAAGCAGAAGTACAAGTGGTAAAAGCTTTGGGAATGGAGATGAAGAGGAAGAAGTGGGAGAAGAAAGTGAAGGATGGGACAATGGAGCAGAACAGGAAGATGAAGATGGAGAAGACGGTGGTGGAGAAGGGGAAGATGAAGAAAGGGAATATGAAGACGGGCCTTGCAACGCCGTGCGATGCCAATGTGGCTTTGACGCAGTGTATCAGCAGACACTGGGCGTCGACCTGGGCGATAGGAACACTGGGGTGGCAATCAGTTGGGGAGATGTCGGGGCGCCCCGCTCACTGCAGGTTGGCCGTTCATCAATGTCCCCTGACAGGGCCCCTCTTCTACATGAAAACTTTGTCAAAGATGCTTCTAGAGCAGAGTATGAAATGAAAATAGTTGGAATGATGCCAAGACGTGTAATGAAGCCCCCCCAAGTTGTTCGCAGAAAACCTCTGTCGATAAGTGAGGTATCAAGGTCCTACCCCGTCATCTATTTTTGCTTGCATCTTGGCTGCCACTGTACTCAGAGATACCACATCCTGTGTACCACTGAACGACTTCCGCATATGAGGCCGTGTGTATACATTCCTGGCATGAGTATAGCAGGACAGCCTTCCACTCTTTGATTGGCAGTTGTTTAGCAACAGGAACAGCAGCTTTTTTGAGAGTGCTGTCTTGGCTCCCCTGCACAGATCCTCTAAGGCCATGTTAACAGCTCATCGTTTGATAACCTTACTTGGACTTGCCATTCAGCGTTTGAGTCCATCATCTTGTTGTTGAACGAGATTGATAAGCCTCATGCGCATCTTGCATGCAAAGTGCATCCTCTGGAGGCCTCAGAACGAACATCTTGCGCAGGTCCTTCAACTGCCTTGGGACGAGCTTATCAGAAGACTGCTCGAGCTGGCTGAGAGCGAGGGCGCAGACGAGATCGTTGTGGGTCTGCCTCTGCAACTAGGCACGGGGAACGAGTCGAACCAGGCCCGCAAGTCGCGCACCTTTGCGGTAAAGCTGGCAGCGGCTGCTAATGCCAGGTGGTGTGATTGCCGGAGCCAGTCTTTCTGCTCAGATTCATTTTCACTTCACGTTCTGCATTGTCGCATCCAAACCTATATCTTTTGCAGAAGGAAAGACAAGGTTGTAGTCACTGCGCAGATGTTTCATCTTCACCCCTTGCTGCCATGCCTGGATTGGACACAGAGTCCTGCAATTCTAAAGCGTTCTGTTATCTTGTTTTCTCATCATGATCACATGCATGCATTGCGCATCTGTGCAATTCAGACTGGTACGGCCAAATGACAATGGTTCCTTGACTTTGGATCAGGGAGTTTGATGCTCGGTCGGGATTGTCTTCGCAGAGGGGTTCGAGTGTACTTATTCGACGAAGCCCTGACTTCTAAAGACGCCATGTCATACATGATCAAAACGTAAGTTTTCTGCTTTCCTTAAAGGTTGCAGTCATTCTGGAATGGTTGCAAACATTTTTGCTACTTTTGCTGGTCTTTGTGGTAAGCTTAGCGCAGGGCGTTGACTGTATCGTTTTGCCTACTCGTGCGTTGTTTGATTTGGTACTCAAGATGGAGCAGAATGATGTTGAGGTTTCTCTTCGCAGCAATATGGGCTGGATCGCGCAGAGTCTGTCTTAGTAGGGGTGTTTTTGGTTCCAACTTGCTCCGCGACTTTGTAATTGTGCTCTGGTTGACGTTCGTCTGACCGGACAAGCACTCTTACTTACAGCGTTTCTTCCTTGTGAAAAGCACACTGTCCAATGAGAGCATAACTGAGAGCCGACTCGTAAAAAGTTCTCTATGAGTAGTGGCGGTAAAAAGTGTTGACGTGCGGCTGGATCGTATGCAGAAGGGACTAGTCAGCCAACGCTTGTCTTGTACAGGCGATATCGGAATTTGCACCTCTTCTTGCACCTCTTCAATGGTGGACTTGAACGACTGCACTCGCTCGAAAAGCCTTGTCCGCGCTCTAAATACAAGCGGTTTAGAGGTTTTGCTACCTAAGGGTGAGATCATTTCAGTTTAATGCTGGACCGTGCTTGATTCCAAATAATTTCTCGTGCAATCGGTCTTGCAGCGGAGTTAAACGCAAAACTAGAAAGGCCAATCTGGACGCTATGGCTGCAGCGGTGAGCGAAGGGTTCAGGTCATACTTCTTATCTTGCTTCGATGGTCAACCCACATCTTAGACGCAGTGGCGAAATGCTGAGAAGCTTGTTCAGGTAAACGAAGCATTGCCCCGTTCGGGCGCCTGCGATGATTGGAGGCTCTTTCTAGTCAAAAGCCCGTCGCGTGTCTTGATGCAAAGGCCCGCTATCATAATCGAACTCAAGTTCAATATGATTGTAGGCCAGGATAATTTAAGGGACGGGTGGGATTAGTCTGGGGTTTAGCGAGGGTAGGGGTGCGGAGCAGGTAATGTTTTAAATCTAGACTTTGGTGTTGGTCGGAGCTTGTAATCCTTTTGGCTGATTTATCCTCCTAGATTCTCATGTTATCAGAGCGCACGTGTTCTCCTGCACTCAACGTACCACATATGCATGCATCGGCCTGAAGTGCAATTGATGTAAATGGGCTTAACTGCAGCCTTTTACTAATGCTCGCCGTTTGCTTTCATTGACCTGTATTGAACTTCAATGGGCTCTCTTCTGAGGTGTGCCCGCTGTCACTTTGTCTGGCAGGTGCTGTTAGAAACCTACTTTCGTGATGGGGGCTGCAAAGCTGAACGAGTGGCGCCGCCATTGCTGAGTGCAACACGTGGAGCACTAGGATGCTGACACGTGGAAGGATTTCAAGAAACGGCGGGTCTTCAACGACAGCCTATATGAAGGATTGGGATAGTTTTTGATAAGCAACAAGGACTGAGGGCGGGACCCACTTGATCTACACTACTAGCTGATTGGATCCAACTCACAATCCTTTGGAGTGTTCCATCCGATCGGCCTAGGTGTCCCTTTGAGTTTCTTAGCTGAGTCCCTTTGAGCCTCCTCCGTTGATACTGTCTAGAAAAGTCACTTGATTGCCTTACTATACAGGCTGCCTAGACGGCCGCAGCGGCCGACTGGATTAAAGGCGGCACACGCACTTCCAAATAACAGTCCGTCACTGATCGACGCGGTTTAGTACTCGAGTCATAGGTTCGAAGGTTGGAATAAACCGAAGGCGCGGTCTAGCTAGCCCAAGGCTGCCCCGCCTGACTCAACGCCTGGCATGCCAGAGCAACTTCTCTAGATTACATCATGTCATGCGCATTTCAGACTCAAAGGGTATGTCGACGTATTGCCAGTGACATTGCACCGAAACATGAGGTAAATTCCGGATTTCAATATTCACTTGTCGATCTTTTAAATTAAAGGCTATCAGAGCGGTATGGGGCACAGCGGATCGGACAGAAGAGACAAATGACCGCGAGCTTGATCTGATCGACACTTCCGCATTCATCTGCATCATGATGCATCTGATCGAAAGAATGTATGAACCTTCAAGAAGTTGAAGAAGACAGTTAAGAATTATCACAGGCCCGCGCGGGTCCGATGCAGTCTCTTTTCGTGTCCCCCGGGGCCAAAAGGCCATAGGCTTCTCTTGGCATACATGGACACTTCTCTTATAGCCCATGCGTATCAAAGGCATGGGGCGAGCTGTGCGGGTACAGGCAGTGTCAATGCTTTTTGCAGGGACATGTTCTTACAACAACTCAGACGACAATCTTATGACCTAGGAACCAGATGACCAAACGACCGATGCCGTACTGCATTTGCACTATTCGTCTACGCTGAAGCAGCCAACGTTTGGATCATCCATCTATGAGATGAGGATCATTACCACAATTGGCTTTATACGGTTCGGTGTCATGCGGTCTTATGTCGGTGCGATATCATGTCGGTGAACAGACTGCCGCGCTCAGGCTAACGGCGAAAATGAAAAAGATACGATCTTTCCAGGTCACTCATATGGCATGCACACATCATCCATGATCCCTTGGC